CGAGACGGCGGCATGCGTACTCATGGATGGCTGGCTGCTGGTCTCGTGCTCCAGCTCATCCTCCTCAATGCATGTGCCGATGAAGGGTCGGTCCCCGGGCAGCAGGGTCTGACTGCTGTACATATGCAGGTTGAGGGGCCCTAGGAGGGAGGAAGACGAGGACCCACAGACGGATGGGGGGCTGCTCACAGAGGAGGGCAGAGGAGTCCTCTTGAAAGGGTTGGAGTGATCAAACAAAGATACTGCTATTGATGCCCGTGTTCTAGCTCCTAAAAAACAACACATGCAATATAGAGACATTGGTACTGTCACTAGAACACTGATGTTGGTGTTCAACTGCTGTGTGCAACACCCTTAAATTCAACAAGAACAGAAGAAGACAATGAAGGAAATGTAGTTCAGTGTTTTGTGTTGTTATATGATTTTGAAATTAAATGAGAAGGCAATGTAATATTAAAGTTAAAAATGTTAAAATTCAATATTTACATGTAATATTTTACAGAGTACATTTTCTCTGTAAAAAAAGACCAGTACAGACCAAATGCAAAAAAGTTGACGAGAAAATGAAGCAAAGTGGATCTTTGTGAGCTCGTTCATCAGTCAGGCAACTGCTTATTCTGCACCAACCTCTTCCTTTCATAATGTAATCAATGGCTCTGTCACTAATGGCAGCTTCACTGGGTTTAATATCCAGATAAGGCTTGTTTCCCACTCCCATGGACACCATCTCCTGCATTCTGATTTCTAAAACACATGACAGGAACAGCCTTAGACTCCATAAGCTACAGACACTAATACAGTAGAAATGTATAAAAACTAAAGTATAGTAATATTATTGATTTCAATGCTCATCATTTACTAATCATTACAGTCAAAAGCTAAATTGCAGAATTTAGCCGACATGAATACTGATTCTTCAAATCACTTATTAACAAAGCTTCTCAAATTCAACTGGATTGAAGTTTGTAGCTCATATGAACGGTTAATAGAATAACAACATAAAGATAGTAGAAATTGATTATTGTTCATTACCTTTATTTCTGGTGGCTTGCTGCCAGAGGATTTTGGCGATATCAGAGGTCCATACATGTTTGATCTGTGCTGTAGCAGCCTGTAAGATGTAGGCTTGATTCTTAGAAGTTCTTCTTCTGAACCATATTTCAAACCGCAAGCCGCTGTCTCCAGAGTTCTCCGTCAAACCCACATCTGCAGTCTGCCAGGGATGACATCACAGTTACACTCAGTAAAATTACAGTTTTGGCACAATTAAAAAACAACAAAAAGGTGTATATGGGGAAAAAACTGTGTGAAGTGCTTTAAGGTCCTGGAAGCGTTAGATTTCTTACTTTAAAAGAATGTTTGTAGATGAAGACATCCAGGCCACCCTCGATTCTTTTGGGCTTGCTGAAGAGAATCAGGTCTTCAAACAAGAACACATGTCTCTGACACTTCTTCCGCCCGTACCAGATAGTAAACTCATCCTGCCGCACAAGCTGGCCTTGCTCCTTCAGATTTACCTGAGAACATATTGTCAACAGGAACTTTGACGATTCCGCCCGATCCTTCCCATTTTAAACAATATATTTTGAGCATGCTTTGCATGCTTTTCTTACAGATAGCTTCATTTAGTAACTGCAGCTCCTTCCTTTGAGCACAGTGAATTGTGAAGAAACTCAGTTTAAGAAGAAGACAGCACTGTCAGTCATGAAGAGGAAGTCAGTATAACCTTGAAAGACCTGCAGACCTCTGGCCCTGTGCCTTTTCCCTCACTGCTCAAGGGGGGTTACTCACATCGCAGTCTCGGATGGCATCCATGGCCAGCAGGTCATTGCCATGGCGCAGCTGGAACTTGACCATCTCGGCTGCAGCCCTCAGGTACACCAGCTCCTGGTCCTGTGCCTCGCTGCACTCCTTGATCAGGTCTTTCAGCAGCAGCGCGTATTTACTCATACGCTGGATGGGCTTCAGCAGGTACGACGCCAGGTCCATCTTGTCCTCTAGCTGCAGCTGTTTATTCTGCACAAAACACATTCGGTGAGTCTGAGCATCAGAGAGCGCATCCTAGCGAGGCTGCAAAACACACTCTTCTATACAGAACATTTCTACTGTGAATGCTTATTAATGTCACTACAGAGAACAGCAGTTACTTTCAGCTATTACTCATAACTTGGTACAACTTAATAATGCCACACCTGAAGAAGGCTCTTGTTTTCTTCTCTTTTCAGTATGGAATAAACCTATTACTTGTTCCTTTGCAGCCTACGTAGCTACCCACCTGACTTAATAATGCATACTCTTTTGTCATAATAACTCAAATAAAGAAATAAAAAACAACATAAACTATTATATTACTGATGTGCAGAAAATCAACCTGAAAGTTGTCGCAGTGTTTTGCATGTTCTCATCAGCGCTCTGGCTGATGACCAGGTGCTCTCTGCACTCACCCTGAAGAACGTGTTGCCATGACTAGCCAGCAAAGCGTCCGATTTTGGTTTGTTCTTGCTGTACAAGGCATACATCCCAAACTGGTCTTGCTGGAATCAGCAGAAGATGACAAAATATTTTCATGATGTATACAATATCTGTTGGATGCTTTTTATGAAATAAAAATAATCAAGACAACAATATGAAATTTGTTTATATATTCTCATTATTCACTAATCTACATTACAACTACCCTGCAATTTGAGTCATAATGAACTAGAAGATTCTAAGCAATTTCACAGAACAGCGCACCACTCCCATATTTCTGAAAAATAGGCCCTGCAGCGAAGTTTGTGGATTTTTCTGTACTGTTGCACATTAAAATGTTTTAAAATTGTACCCGTGGTTTGAAAGCACCACACAATAATGAAGCACAAGAGATCAAACAGAAACAAAGCAACTCTAATTTACTTTAACTGCAAGCTTTTATGTGGGTTCCTTGAATTACATTCGTTATATGACCCATTAACTCAACTTCTGGCCTAAACAGACAACATAAAGATGAAAATTTCACATGAATCAGAGGATTTGTAATTTGCTTGGGGCTATACCACCTAGAAGGTCTGGTCTGGACGTAGACAGCACAGTGCTTTGCAAGGAAACACCAGAAATGTGTCACAGAGGGATTTTACAATTTGGCAAAGTGAAGCAGGAGTATGGAATGTTAAGATTACCTGTTTAAACTTCCAATTAAAACTAACCAGTATGCAAATATCATGTCTTAAAGGACAAAAGCAATATTTTCTTCATAAATGGTGCTTTTTACAATTGTTTCTTAGAAAACAAAAGCCAGCCAGGCTGGCTGGGCTATCGTTTGATGCAGTGATGCAGTGATGAACCCCTTCCTCAATGCAGATGGGAAGAGACACTCTAGACTTCCTGCACTCTCTCCATTCTGGTTTGCTACAGTATGCTAGTTCTGCTAACAGTGAGGTCTGGAGCTGACAGAGTGAGGTAGAGATCCTAGGAAACTGTGCAAGTGCAACTCATGCTTCTTAGTGCTATCTATCCCCATGTCAGGTTTTCTCTGCCTGGCAATACTGTTCATAATTACTCTGTGCTCAAATAGCAATTTTGGTGAACACAATTCAAAAGCACACAGGCCCAGTCTGCCACAGGCTTGTCCTAATACTTGTAATTGGATCCTGACTAGAATAATAGGAAAAAAATTGGCTTGGTTTAGAATTTCACACAAGACTGAATGATCATTTAATGGCTTAAAGGTTGTTTTTTTTCCCTTGCATTAAAAATTACTATCACCTCTTTCAGGTGATTTTCAACTAATGCCATTTTGAATGGTTTCAGGGAAGATTATTTAATTTCCCATGTACAAACAAAGCCTGTTCTTTTCAACTCTAGAAGTACTTAGGAACTTTCTATGTGCCTATGGGTTTCCATGCAAATGCAGGGCCTTACGTGTCTGAGGAAGCAGTGGCTGACGCGGAGAGGGTGGTTGCAGCAGCTCTCCAGCTCCTTCAGGAAGTACTGGCTGTGGAAGTCCACCAGCTTCTCCAGGTTCCCAAAGATCACGCTCCGCTTCCCACGCAGGTCCTGGGGCAGGTCCTGGCGCTCCATCTCCGGGAAGTAGTGATCGATGACGTAGCGCAGCGAGCGCACGTACTCGCGCTCGGTGGTGACCATCTCATCCACAATGTGCCTCAGCTTGCTGGGAGACATGAGCAGTGCAGGGAGAAAACTGAGCCTCTGTGCTCGAATGATGCAGAGCTCTGCAGGAAACTGCAGGGCAGCAGCTCCACAGACAGCACAAAGGCCTGTATCAATCAGGGCCTTAAATACTCAGGTTTATTGAACAGTGAGTGCTTTTCCCCCCATAAAATGCTAAAAAAATCTTCCAGTTGCCATATTCTTAGCAGAGAAACACAAACCAGAGGACAAAAAGGAAACCTATGGGAAAGTTAATTTACTTACAAAAAAAGGGATCCTATTTTGAGGATGTTGAACAAGCTAAGCAGCAATGTTATTAATACTCTGGCCTCTTTCAAACAGATCCTTGCATCACTTAGGCTGAATGGTCTCCTCTTATTTTTAACTCCTCCTATTCTTTCACTGTCCATACAAAGCTTATAACCTTCAGTTTACAGTACAACATATTTATTGACATACTACACAGGATGAGGGAATCAAGCATTGATCAAACCCCGGGTTGTATTAATCACATTAATGTGTTGCTCACAACCCCTGCTCACCAGCTGTGATCACTAACAGGAGTAAAAAACCAACTGTATTTAACCTCACTTATACCTCCATGGTAAAAAGGCCAATTAGGGGTACTGACTGCATGTACAATTAAACAGATAAATAAATAAATTAGTAACATCTGCATTCAGGCTTCTTTCAGAATTAAATGCCAGCACAGCATTATTCTGGTGTACTGCATAAGTATGTGTTTTTTACACTAAAAATAAACCATTCAAGAAATATATTATTCTAAGTTTATATGATATCTAAAGCATTTAATAAAGCTGTATAAGTAACTAACAATATTTGTGAATTAACAGCTATAAATGTAAGAATATAAAGTCTTTCCCTCAAAAAAATGTTTACATAAATAACTGTCAAAGCAGATATACTGTACATAATTCACTTTTTTAACTGAAACAAAAACCAATAATAAACCAATCCTCTCCATCAAGCCAAGGGGGATTAATAGTGTTTTGCCCAGCTGCATCAATTAATCCAGACAAGACTGTAATTGACATTAATCCTGCCCTGTTCTGCTGGATGGCCAGGTACCCTCCATAAGAAAACACCAGTCACTGAAGACAAACCCACACACCCAGGCCAGTATCCACAGGCTAAGTAAGAGGAAGTAATGGGAATGCTTATGTTTCACATCTTAGCAAAAATACTGTAGTTTAGGATTCATCTCCAGTCTCCATATTCATTCCGTGTGATCCCTTTGTCAGTCTTCTAGTAGATCAGATCATCAGTCTGTCAGTCAGGGTAACCAAAAGCCCTGCTGTCTGCTTGGCCTGCTCTCAGTCGACTAGAGCGCCTCTCAGTACACACAGCCGTCCTATTGTGTCATGCTGCAGCACTGGCCAGAGCAGGGTCCTTTCACACTTTCCACTTCACTGCCACTGTCTTGGTCTGCTCAGGGGGCTAAGGGCCTGAGCATGTGGCAAGATCTTCACATTTCTACCCTGTTAGTGAAAAGCTTCCTTCTGTAGAATTGTAACAGATAATACACAAACACAAACAATCCCATATACAGTTTACACATTACTCTGCAAAATTCACAGGCATATCCAGGACTTACAATATATGTATGTTCTGAAGATTAACAATTTACTGAACAGCTTCATTAAATATAACAACTTGGTTATTTATACAGCTTAACTTGGGCAAAAAGACACCAGTCATATTCATCAATGTTTAATTCACATTGATCAATCTTTAGAAATGTGCTTACAATTCTAATCTAAACAGAAGCACCCAATCTAATATGTCTCCCCTAACCAATCACTTTAGAATGTTTATTATTGACATAATTTACAGTATTCCTCTCTTCATTCATAAAGCTAACAGACCTTTGTCATCCAAATACTACCAAACAACAAAATCTGTACATTTCAGGAGAAAGTCAACACAGAAAGGTGTTTCTGTTTAAGGAAAGAAAAACATTGAGTGAAAAGTGCAGAACCATGCAAAGTGTCTAAGACTCTAAGAAAATTGTCCCTTAGAGCACTGGATTTCTTGTGCTCTCACGTTGGTATTTATGCAGTTTGGAAAAACTTTCATTTCACTCAATATAAAGGACTGGTGTTTGGTGCACTGGTGACTGAAAACCTGAGGTCTTAGCAAACACACTTATAAACCAGTAGGTCTTTAATAATACAGATATCATTAATTCAGAAATCAATCACCAGCTGTGACATGAAATCACAGATAATCCTTACTTTGCAGCATTGAAGACTAATTTCTCAGTCTGATAATTTAAAATATTTCTTGTGCATATTGTGTTCACACACATGATCCAAGACCTTTCAATGGAAATGCTGAATAGCAGATACTTTAAAGGAAAGAAAAACCATGAAACTGTGTGTGGCTTTTTAAACTAGAAACAAGCTGTGAAAACAAACCCAGTCCAGTCCAATAAGTGTCGAGATGTCTGCAGCTACAAGATTTAGACACTGAAGTGTTACCATTCCCAACAGACCTTGAAAATATCATTTCCTAGTCACAGACTGATAATCACTGATAACCAGGGGGCTGTCCTGTCAAATCAGCACGAAGTTCTGTTAGTCTCCTATACATGTGTGTATACAGTGACTTCAGAGAAATATAAATGAGGAATCTCTATCAAATAACTGGTAAATGCCCTGGTTGCCCATTCCAGACTCTGGAAGATGTGTTCTACGACAGTGGGGCCTCCAGATCCTCCAAACTGCTAACATTAAGAGTACAGTATGTTGAAACAAGCTGTTAGTATCTCCTCTTGTCCTTCAGCATGAAGAATACCAACTGATGTCTTCAAACATTTTACTATCACTCAATGCAGATGTAACAAAAGGAAGAATTATCTTCTCCTACACTACATCAAAATATTTAGTAAAGAAATTGGTTCACAGTAAAGGAGTATTGGTTTATGGCATCTGTGCAGTTATAGGGGCTTATTGTGATTGTGGGACAGTAAACTTACAGGTTCTTATAAACTGTGTGGAGTCCTGAAGTAGTGGCTGAAGAAGTGTAATGACTTTGTATGGGTTGATGTCTTTTATGTAATGAAGTTCAAGTGGGTAGCTGCATCAGCATGTGTAGGCTGCAAAGAAACAAGTAAAGGTTTATTCCATGCTGAAAAGAAGAAAAGAAACACAACGTTTCAGCTCTGGAGCCTTCTTCAGGTGCTTTGGTGTACTGTATATTGAGCCAAAACATTGTTTCTTTTTTCTCTTTTCAGCATGGAATAAATCTTTACTTGGTCTTTTATGCAATGTTATATTTGTTGAGACTGTTTTGTTAAACATTTGTTAATTGTTGATGTACCATTTGTATGTTGTTTTAAGTCTCTGTGTGTGTAAAACATAGCTGTTTAGACACAAAACTAATTTCTGAGAAATCTGACAATAGTGTATTATTGTATTGTATTCCTGCTACCTGAAGAACCGCTCTACAGTGAAGTCGGGTTCTAAACTCACGCTTGGTCACAGCTGTCAGAGACGCACATGCCAGGGACCCATAACAAACTCACTGTAACGGTAACAAAGCAGGGTGGTGAAAAGAGTTAACACAATAAACTTTTTTCAGAATATTCCTTTCATCTTCTGCAGATTCTGCACTCTAAAGCATGTGGAGTTGTTTTTCATGGCATAATGCTTAATCTAAAATAGCTGGAGTGGAAAGACTGTGTTTTCTGGCAACACCATTAACTCTGAGCACAGTGGTTCCACTGGGAGCTTCATCCCCCACATATCTTAGCAATGACACTTCATTGGAACCTGCCTGAACCTGCCTTTAGAGACAAAGTTCTGTAACCACATTAAATGGAGAAGGAAAATTCCTAGTAGGATACATATTTATTTTAAAATCTTAAATTCCTACCACTTTACACAACCAGAAGTAATCTTTTGTGGTGTAAACATTTCAGTTCTGCCTCCCCACGCTCTTCCCTGGGACTCACCTGCCCTTGGCCCGGACTTCAGGGAGGGGGGTGCTGCTCCTCTGGCCCTGGCCCTGCCCCTGCCCCTGGGGGGCTGCAGTCCAGCTGTGGCCCGGAGAGCGCGGCCCGCAGGAGCGGTCTGTGATCTCCGTGCTGCTCACCTCCAGCCCCTTGATGAAGACGCCGGTGTTGCCGCGCCGCGCGGGCTCGCTCAGTGTCCTCTGGCAGGTGCCGTAGCGGGTCCCCTCGCTGCAGGGGATGTCAAAGCTCTGGGTTTTCCTGAGCACGCGCCTGCCCTTTTCCAGCAGGGGCTGCCCGGGGCTGGTGGAGCAGGAGGCGGCTCGGGGATGCAGCTCCGGCTGCAGCTCCTGAGAGGACTCCTCGGAAGAAGCACTGCGGTTCAACCTGTTGGTGTGTGTAGGGGTGCTGGAAACCCAACTGGCACCCTTCAGCTCAGAGCCAAACAGGTTCAGGGCGGGGGTCTTTGTGACACCATAGTCTGCTGGTCCGGCCTCTGGAGCAGCCCTTGCCGGTCCACAGGGACTCCCTGTAGAGGGGATAGTGGGTCTGTCTCTTGGCCAGCCGCCAGAGAAGACCCTCCTGCTGCAGAAGGAGATGCTGTTGCTGCGTTCATGCTGCAGCTTCTGATCAGAGCTCTCTGAGTACCGCCTGCTTCCGGTCTCGCCGCAACTCTTCATGCTGCCTTGCTCGGAGGGCAGAGACCGCCGGGTCCTCAAGGCTGCTTCCAACTTCTTCTCAAACATCTGTGTAGTTTCCTGGCACTTTGACCAAGCAAATTTCCACTGTTTCAGCCCTTTGTCATTCTTTAATTCTCCAGCCAGGTCCTTCATCTCCTGAAATTTGGCCTCGGGAATCTCGGGGTGATGCAGGGTATAGCTCTCTAGACACTTGATGACTGTGCTGCACTTCTCCGGCATGCTGCAGTCTTCCATGGTGATGCACGCGAGGTGGCGCATGCCCTCCAGTGCCCACTCGTACGCCTGCCACGGAGAGGGAAGTAAATCAGATCAAGTCATCTCTAGCAGAAAAGAAAGGAAACATTCAAACTCGCTGCCTTAAAGCCCATGAAAACAACACTGTATGACACAACTGCTTGCAGCCAAGAAAGCGCTTCTGTGTCACAATAGAACTCTTTAACGCAAATAAGAGGACAAACAAGGGGCTCTTTATTGGTTCAGAATCATACAGACTAAAAGCTGATTCTTTTTTATTGTGTGGGTAAGAACTGGCAGTTTGGTCCCTTGGTCTTTGGGAGAAGGGCTGCTCTTATCTAAAAATGATTTGTGCTTTGTTTAAGGGTAATCAGCAGAGATGTACAAGGGTCCTCCACTAATGGTGTGCTGAAACAGTTTTAACACAAATAAATAAGGAATGTGTGAAGGTGCTATTCTCAGCATTGAGTGCTTTTAATAAAAATCAAGAGGAGAAATACTTCATTTTACCCTGCTATTTTTAATTTACTCAGAAAGACCTAACAGAAAGACACTTTTTTGTTCCTAGTGGAGTTTAATGTCTTTTAAGGTTAGCTTCACTGGGACATTAGTGGGTATGCAAAGAGCAATTCAAATAATTTAATTAAATTAAAATTTAAAACAAATCTTCATAAGCTTCATGGTGGTTTTTCCAAAGCATGTTCAGCCAATATTTCATATCACTAAAGATTCTTTTATGGCACATATACAGTATTTAGAAGCTGTACTCCAGCCATACTGCAAAAGTATTTCCAAGACTTCAGGATTTCAAAGATTCTATTATTTTACAAAACATCATCTGACTGTTTCAAGCTCAAAACACAGAATGGATCTACATGTATCAAAACTTATTCTAACAGACTCTGAGAGTTATTTCTTTCCTTGACATCTACTAAGGCATTCCTGTGATTGTCTTGACTAGAGAAAATGCCTTGAGTCACCAAAATGCTCTCTGCTGACAGATTTTTTCTTTTAGTTTATAGGTGACACTTCTCTTCTCTTTTAGAGCTTTCAATCCCCACATACCACACATGACCTTCCTAGGAGGGTGTTGTGACACCAGTGCCACATACCAGCATTTCAGAAGACCTGTGCTAAGTTACTGAAGTTACCAGCAGTCTGTAGGTCACATACCACCAACAATAGGAGACACAAACATGTGACAGCACTGAAACCACAACAAAAGACAAGGGGAAAAAGACCACAAGATATAATTAATGACTCCAGGCTGTCTATGACACGTTTAGAAACTTCACAAACAAACCTTGAACAGAACAGTTGCACTTCACCCACTGTAACGCTACAGCACTGAGGTTGATTTTATGCAGTAATGTTTTTCTGTGTGCAGTTTTCCAGATGTATTTCTCATTTTCACAGTGCCTGCTGCCTCATTACAGTGTATACTGAGCCCCAGAGATGTGAGGTGCACTTTGCTACTAAATCCAGAGCTGCAACACAAAGTGAGCATGAAATGAATTACTTTTCCAATCTGCTTCAGTAGCCTCACTTCAAATAACAGTTTAAGGCTCAAAGGTCTCAAAGTTGTGCTAAAAACTACACTAGCACAGTAAAAAGGCAAATTGGAATGATGTTTTTACTGCACTTATAAGGATGAGATATTAATTAGTTAAATCTGTAAGGTGCAAAAAAAGGCTTAAAACCAAGCTGATGGAGGGAACAGATAAAAGCTTAAAAAGCAGTTTGCACAGACTCCCTAAAAAGCCAAGTTTATAGTTGATTTAACACCAAATCTAAAGTGAAAAACTATTAGACCACTACAATTGGCTGGCTCACCATAGGATTGAAGAATTTTATTTTTAAAAGAATAAAAAGCTCCTATGTTTTTTCAGTTAACCTTTGAAAGTGAATTACAAAGTTTTGTGAAAACGTGGAAGAAAGCAATTTAATTATCTTTTTCGGAAAAATAAGTTAATATCCATAGGGTTTTCGGGAACAATTATTGGAACAGACAATAATTCTTTCTTTAGCATACTTGTGAGCCTTCAAATAGTGACTTCTTACTAAGAGTGGAACACAGCACAAACGTTTTTGTAAAAAATGAATAAAAAGACTTAGAACACTGGTAAAGGCAGCACAGATGAGAAGCTCAGCAAACCAGCTCCTTAAAATATGAGGCATCTTGCCCTTACATTTCACTGTCATTTGTGTGAGAAATAAGATCAGGAGGAGGACCTGGACACAACACAATAGGGGGCTGAAAGCGTACGGCTCTGCCCTTCAGTAACACATGGACCACACATGGAGAGACACACCTTTATCACCACTCTGGACACACCAGCTCACCCAGATTCATGTTCTCTACTTAAATGTTATTCTGAAATGCACAGAGAGGCAGAGCAGTCCTCCTGAGTGCTGCATCCTCATTCACCTCATTGAGTTTCTTTCAATTTTAATGAAAATTAAATTGACTTTGATAAAGAATTATCCTGTCCTTTGCGATGTGCAGCACCTGTTTCCATGTATGGTCACTTAAGCACTGCAGCAGTTTCCAGGTGCCTACTTGCCAGGCAACTCTGTAAGGCTGACCTCCTGGGTGCCCATCTTCCTCTCGGCCTACAAAGATGTACCCTGACTCTGTGAGCTCTGCGATACTCCACCCGTGTGTGGCACTGCGGGTGAAGAGGAAGCATCGACAGATGTGGGGTCTGGGTTAAGGGGGTGTACTGTGCACTTTGTTGGTGAAACGTCTGATTAAATTAAGTGTGCTTTAATAATCTCATTAGATGTGCAGGACATCAGGAGTGAGGTTGACAGGTCCAGCAGCTGCTGTGAAAAAAACAGCGATTCTCCTGGCGTTACGGGCCAAGAAGCGTCTGGTGAGCCACGCTTAAAGTGTGCCTGGCTCTTCTTTCATTCAGTCCCCCGTTTCACAAAAGACAAAGTAAAAATGCACACTTGACTTCCTCCTTCGACTGCATTCTAAAAAAGGCTTGTTTCCTTTCTTCCAGCCAGTAGCCAGACATGAAGCAATACAGAATAGACCAATTCAATTTTCTATTTTTCCAACTTTTCCTGCTTCTTGAGTGTGAAGATTAGGAACAGATGTTTCTCTTTTAAAAGCCAAATTCAAAATTTCATTTACTTTCAAGCATTGATGATAAGTGAGATACAGGATGAAAGGGCATGGCCTCAAGTACACATTATGTTTTCAAGAGTGAAAAGGGTTAGTTAAATGTGAATAATTCTCCAAATTCAAAGGCTGATTTGAGGTACTGCCTGAAAATCTTTTTTTTTGCTTAACATTCCATTAGTACATTAAAACACATTATTTGTTAAAGGTGTCAAAAACAAAACAAAACAACAACAACAATAATAATCATTTAATTTCTAAAATGTCAGAGATATATCCCTACCCTTTTCTCCCAAAGAGAAAGGACAAATTATGCTAGAAAACGTGTTGAATGACAAATTTTTAACAGTGCCAGTCTCTAACATATGCTGAAATTACAGGCAAATATTTAAGAGAAATGTTATGTCCTTTTAAAAGTTTGCTTACATGACAAATTCAACAAGCAAGTGCATTAATATGTTACTTTGTCAGGGCACTAAAGCTGCAGCACTGTTGGCCTCCCCCAGCTCTGAATATGACCTCTGAATATAAACCTTTGGGTCCGCACATCATTTACAGATCTGTACGTATCTCTCACATTGGCCTGGGAAGCTCAGGCAATTTAGAAATTCTCTAAGCCTATTTTTGCATGACCCCTCTGTAGTGCTCGCCTTCATGTGTATTGGAAAGACAAGCTGTGCATAAATCACCTTCTGCTACAATTTGAAGAGTCACTGGGGAAAAGGGAAATGAGTCAAACACAGTTAACCCATCACTGTCAATTAAACTGCTGATCTACAAAGGGAATATTCAGATGTTCAGGAGGCATTAGAACTAAAATCCCTCCTAAACTGAAGTACACAGACCAGGAAATCAGGAAAATCAACAACAGTACAAATCCACTTCAGCATTAATATAATGTTTAAATATTATTGAACAATATACACTTAAATAGGCATCAGATAAAAAATATTCCAGATTACAAGACCAAATCACAAAATTAGTTAAATGTGGAGCTGCTTTTCAAGCAGACATTTCAAGAACCAGTCAAAAGATGAAAGACCTGGCAGATGTATTGCTGTTTCACTTTAGTAAGTACAGCACAGAGGCCTGGAGAGGTCAGCACAAGTCCAGACTGTGATGAAGACTGTCTGAGGGCTGTATAGTGGCCAGTGACCCTGCACAGCTCCCTGCCTGCAGCCCAGTCAACCAGCATCATCAGAGGCATGTTAATTCTTCTACAGGAATTAGGGTTTCCAAAGATGAAAAGGACTGGGAGGGGATTAATTCATTTCTCTTTGAAATTCCATCTGTAGCCTGTCCACACCTATTACCATAATCAAAATGGCTTAATGACATCAGGACTTTGTTTCTGAACAAAGCATTGAAGCCCTCAAGATTCCTCTACAAGCACTTTGAACTATATTCCAAGTGTAACTTCAACATACATAAACTACACATGGTGTTCTTAATCACTTTGATTTCAGGGTTTTGCTGAGATCTCTAGTCATATGAGAGTTTGTGCACCTGGCACCACTCTTCTATATTCTTCTCACTGCATAATAAGCTAAAGCTTATGAACGGAACAGCTGCCCTGCCTTCTAGTTCAAGAGAAACTCATACAAACAGCTCTTACACAGCAACAGGAAAACAAATGCTATCCCCATGCAAGGGGGTGAAAACTTTATTTTTCACCAATATACAATGTACTACTGCAATCGTTACTCAAAATACCAAACTGCTTCATATTTGCAGGTTTTGTCCAGCTATGTGTAAGTAAATCCAACACTGTCTAGCTCAGCCTTCAACAGTCGTCTCTTCTGGCTCAGTGTGGACATGGTGACGAGTGGCGGGCAGGCAGGCAGGCCTCCATTGAGAAGGGACAATGCAGTTAACATCACCAAAAGCCAACAGACCAGTGGCCCGGACAGCTGCCTCCCTGCCTGCCTGTAGACCACAGCATCTCTACCTGCAAAGGTCATTTGGCCTACAGCAGACACAGCCTTAATGCTAATATTAAGACACACTAATTTGAACTAAATGCATCCTGACTAAGGTGCAGAAATTTAATTTTACATTTTAAATGGCATAAAGTCTTCATCAGAACTATAGGTTTTCTGGGAACAAGTAGCTATGGTGTGTTAAGACCATGTTGTAGAGACATATGATTTCCTCCTATTATTTTAAAACCTAAGAACCTATAAAAGGACTATGCAGCAGTTACAGTGCAAAGGCAAAAATAAAATACAATAATTAAAAAATGAAACATTCTAGCTTTATAAATCTTCCAATGTACAAACATTGCCACAATCACAAAGGTGTTGTATCCTGCCTGCCTCCTGCCCTACCTTGCTGGTGTTGTGGTCAGAATTCTGTTCCAGGGGGGCTGTAATTCCTCGAGCAGCACACTGTGCTGTTGCAGTTATCCTTCTCTGAAACACACTGAGCCTCTGGCGCCCACAGCCCGCTCCCCACTACCTCACACTATTCACAGGCAAATACTAGGCTAAATACCAGATGGGATACCCCCGGTAACAGGGGGGATGGGGGAGGAGGGGGGTGTCTGTCGCTGGTACTACAAAGCCGCTGGAGTGTAGAAAGAGGGGGAACACAAAACTTGGCACTGGAGTGCTACCTGGATTCAATTAATCCACTGACACAAAACAAAATACCAGGCTTGTTTAATGGTAATAATTGATCCTTTGTGGTTCTTACCTTCATTTCTGTGTATTTTTAATATTTTTTTCCCCACAATGCTCTTACAAAACAAGCATTTAGGTTGAAGATTACAATCGTTCACAAGAAAGAAAAAGAGGCTCATCTGAACAAATCCTCTCACACTGTCACAGGTTATAAACTATCTATATGGAATCTAGCTGTACTTAAATTTTAATGATTGCATTAAAACAATTAAAAAGGTTGCTTTACTTAGTAACTGCAGTGTTTTACTGCATCTGACATTACCCTGTTAAATCACTGCTATTCAAAACCACAGCAGGCAATAATGTATTCAGTGTCGAATTTCCTTCAATATTCATTTTAAAAACCAGTGGCCTGGAAGCTCCTGTGAGAGCAGGACAGAGCCTCAGCTCTTCACAGCTCTACAGTATTGACGTCTGGATCAATTCACAACAGGCAGACACTTGAATGAGTTAACTGGAGCTCAAAATATTGATATGCCCTTCCGCCAGATTGACACCTACCCGTGCAATTAAACCACCATAAACATTACAACCTTGTAAAAACAAAGTCATAACATTTGAAGTTTGTGAGATAATTTTCTAAAAGGATATAAATGTTTTTAGATGGGAATTAGGACAATATGTTCAATCTGTTTTAGGACTGTTTCGATGCTAAACTAACTTATTTGGACACAACAGCTATTTTCCTTCTATTGTCCATCTCATGTCCAGGTCCTTTAAGACCTCTGAAACGCTCTTTTTAGTTGTCATCTTCCTTTGTGGACATGTCAAGAATCCTGGCTGAAATCTTCCCCGATCCACAAGAATTTCCACAGACTCCATCTGCTGCCCGAAAGAGGTTAGTCTGCACATGTCCTGGGAAACAATAACACCTCCCCTCAGGACATACCGTAGGAAAATCAATATACTGCGCTGAATTCAACATGCTGGGACTCTTTATCATAGGGCCACATTTTGCTTTTCTGTTTTAAGTATTGATTTTCGAGACAACGGACACAGGCTTTCCAATCTAGAAATATCAATATGAGGGCTTTGCGGGACTTTCCTATATGTGCCAATGTACTGCAGCTGTTCTAATACAGAGCATCTGGGAACAAGAAATATCTGAATAAACACAATGCAACCACTGGGCATTAAAATGACTCTGAAATTTGTGCTGACTGTGACAACTAAGACACTCAAGCTCGGCAAAGACAAGTATAATACAACATTCTAAGCATAAATTAGTTTCCAGACACATGAAGAGAGACAGATTAAATGAAAAAAAAATCTTCCTTCTTTAGATCCATCCAAGTTTCCCACAAAGTGGAAAGAAAAAAACATAAGAAAAAAATTTCTTAAGCAAAAACTTCCCAAAATTTAAAACCCATTATTAGCTTCTTTGGGCTGCTTTAGACACGCTGCGCACAGTTTCCTTCTTGCATGGGTGCTGCCCCTTCCCTGAGCCAGCTCTCTTCTAACTGCTCACAGCTCCATCAAAGCACTGACCTATCGTTACATCTCATGTCAGGACAGGAGAGGCTGCAAAGACACCTCACTGATGGAGAGATAAACCACGGCACCTGCCAAGCTATTTTTAAAAAGCAGGTTGTTGCTGTGTTGGCAGCTATCAAAAGAGCCCAGCCCTGCACAGGAATCAGATACAGCTCGTGCAAGCCTCACCAGAACAACATCATTCCACACTGTTAGGAGGAAGTGAGCAGGCACATGTGTACCTCAATATTGAAGATCAAAGTCACTCTAGCCTATTCTCCTTTAATACACTCTAATCAACTTATCATACATGTAAAACACAAACTCTTAATAATCTTAACAGCTATAGAGAGTAATTATTCTAACCATTAGTAAAAAAGCATCATAAGAAAATGGCTTATTAAAGAATTTCCACCATCTAGACAGTGGTTTGATATTGTGAATGAGAGTTATACATTGGAAAGGATAACTTTGTCTCAATAACAGTCAGAAGGGTTTAGCAAATATGGTCAATACATATTAAATGAATGTCCCTACCTGATTTCACTTTCTGAAGAAACTATCTGTGTAGACTGGTGTTTTTTGTTTTCTATAATGACCAAATAGATCTGACTAAATATATTTTAGCATGTATTTTAGCCCCCATTGTTGCTGTCACAATGTACAGGTAAATAGTTGTAATAAGTGCAATTGTAACCTAAAAGAAAAGGTGAAAGAAAAAGCTAAACATTCTATGTATATTTTACTAGCAAACCTTTTCATCAATAAATAAAAAGTAAAAAAAAAACAAAGATAGTCCTTATGAAAAACAGTTATACAGAATGCCTCAGTTTTTTGATGCAGTAAGGTATCTATGTTTTCATTACTTTGTTAATTTTTTAAGTACTGGACAAAAAAAAAGTTTGAAGAAAATCAAGAGCAAAACCCCAATAAATAAGGACGAGAAAATGTACAGTTAAAATATTGCTGTATTATTTCTTCTACAGTTTATATGCTTGTAACTGTAATAAGATAGGCACTTCTGTATAGAGAGACCTGTAAGCTGAAAGAAGATGCTAAATGCTAACAGATGGTTTGTGTCCCCATTTAAACAGACTGCAGCCGGACCATTGTCAAGGTTAGTAGGGTAAATTGCCTAATGGGAAAGAGTTGTAATTATGCTAATTTCAGATCTGATCCTGGTTAACCTCTCTGACAGCTGTCAATATGCAAGACATGTTTTCTGCTGTAATTAGTGTATTTTCACAGCTGTAGTTCAAAAACACTCTGAACCTACAGCAATGAAGTAAATGCACACAGTGCTGAAAAAGTGGAAATAAGATTCCTCACACAACAAAACCTTGTAGACTATATAACCTTATTATTTATGTTATTGTTATGACAGCCTGTGACCTCAGTCAATCTTTCAGACTAAGATCACTGAACACAGACAGCTTGGATTTAGAAGCAAGTCTGTAAATCAGAGTATCTGAATAGGCCCAGGATAGTTTTTGTGAAAGGGCAGTCAACAACACACTTATTTCTGCCAAAAACCCTCTGTGAATCGCAGCCATATGGAGCAGATTACCAAACAGTAGTGGGGTGATCTCACTGACACAAGACAGCCACTTCTTTATTGAAAGCATTTTTCTTGTATCCTCCACTCCTTGTGCATAAATTATAAAGTAGATATCTAGAGTACAAGTCCCATTCTTCCGTTCACTTGATTTTAAGTAAACGCGCACAAAGAGACAAGATCTTTTTCTGTTACAGTATTTCAGATTACAGTACAGTATTTCAGATTTTATATTCAGTCATGCTTCAACATGCCATTTATTTTAAAATGGATATCAGTTTAGCAATTAGTGCAAAAAACATTGTAACTAACAATTATAAATGTTTAATGGTAATAATGTATCCTGTTTGGCAACAATCATTTCTTGCCTGTTTTATGATGTCTGTCCTTGGTGTTTTGATTTTTTTAAACACCTATAGTGAATTTTTAAAATTATACATAAATATTATTTTCTCAGTACTGCAAGGTTTCAACGAAACCTAGAAACAGACAATAGTACCACACAGTCTCATCCACAGGCCCACATTAGAGCATTCATTGTTACCATTCAACAGTGAAATCATGCTACAGCAACAAAGCAACATGACACTCTATAAGCCTGTCAAAAATCTTTAACTGCTGTTAAATAATCTTATACATAAGGAAGCAAATCTTTCACAGCTGAGCAACACACCTTATCTAATAGCTCTATTTCTTTGCTTATACTATATATTTAAACAAATTAAACCAGTTATTAATTTAAACTCAAAGACAGCAAAAAGTATCTGCACTTGGATAAAGATACTGTAATGTATGCTGGTTTTAATTCAAACTTGAATGCTCTTTTATCATTCTCTTGCGGTACCACAATTCCCAGAATAACATGGTACTGGCTCCGTGCCTCACCTTGTCAAAGAACTCATACAGCTTCACAGTCTTGTCGATCTTCTCCTTCGTGTCTTCCACTCTCACGGAGAAGTCCTTCAGCCGCTCCCAGAAAGAATGGACCTTGTCACCGTAGATCTGCAGCTCTGCAGAGGACATGTCCTCCCAGCGCTCCAGCCTCTTTAGCAGGGCCTCTCCACTCTTACAGTGCTCCTGGAACCACATAGCCAGGGCCTGAGACACAGCCTAATCTTTAGCAGCATCTCAACTGCAACTTATTACAACTTATTATTAACTATTGCTGTGATTCTGTTTGTAACAAACAAACAGTGACAGGCTGCCAATAAATCCAAATTATATTTGTTAAATCATGTTTGAACTCTATCAAAGAAAGATATAAAAAGGCAAGAGCAGATGATGTTATGGACAATAGTAACACATTCTGAATAGCTTCAATAAACAGAAGACTTTGTTCAAGAAAGCTCTATCATACATATGCAGCTGTGTAGAAGTCCCTGAAGAGGGTCTGTTTTTTGCGTAGCTGTTCCAGAGAGTCTTCCAGTTCACTTAGCATGTTCAAGCGGCTCTCTCCCACCTCCTCAATCCAGCCTCTCACCTGTTGAGGCAAACAAACAGCGTGGGAAAAAGGTTCTTTCAAAAAGTAAAGGAATCATTTTTTTCACAAGTTGAAGTGAATGCTTTTTATGAAGTATTGTATTACGTTAAATGGTAAAGCTACATAGATCACTGTAAATGATTGATTTTCAAAATTATTTCCCCCAATATTTTGTTAATTTAGAAAAGTAATCCCTGACAAAGAACTTGAAACTGTAATGGATAACTTTTAGAAAGTCACTTTCCCAACCCTGATTACTGATCACCTATACTTTATTCTTTTCAAAAGATACAACCATTGATTAAAAAAAAAATTGAAACATTATGTATAAAACTAAAATGAATTCAACAACAATTTGACTTTGGCTGACTGAAAGAGAAGCCCCACACCTCATCGAAGCCCTTCTCCAGCATCCGGAACTCCATGATGAACTCCAGCTCCTGAGTGCGCTTGTTGGAAAGCATGACAAGCTGGTGCACCAGCTCATCCACTTTGTTATAGAGACCAATCACAGTCTCAATGGCATTTCTGTAACACACAGGACACCTTCTGTAAGTAACTCCAGGCAAGTTGCACTAAATATTCATATAATATTCACAAGAGCTTGGATAATAATAACCAACGTCTAGTTATTTATTAGCTGAATACTGATTAACAAATTAATAAAGTCTGAAAGAACAGGTAACAGTAAGCAAGGCAGTAAATGTTATGCTGTGCAGTACTTACCACATGCCTGATATGACATAGGATGCACCTTTGTCTGATAGGAGGTGAACACCACGCAGTGTGCAGTGTGACAGGGAGAATGTGATTATAAATGTGCAAAGGGCTACAGTTTGCAGAGAGAGGCAGTGCCCTCTCCCTGTCTGGCTGTCCCAGACTCACACGGGCATGCGCCAGTGCCGGCACACAGTCAACTTGCAGTGTCCCATGCAGAACTGCAGCGGGGCTGCAAGGCGACTGGGTGCAGGAGAGAATGTCTTTTTGTGAAAAGTCACTACTGAATGCAAACTCCTAGAAAGGGGATTTTTCTTAGAAGCTCTTTAATGGCTCCGGCAGAGGAAGTACTGAGATCTAGCTAACATGCACCACAAAATGCAATACAAGTGAAGCTCTCTCCATTTTTCTTGAAAGTCTGGTATGGTTGCAGTACCAGCAAGAAATTATCAAAATAAATACAGTTCTGCACTACAAAATAAAACAATTATAAAACGGTACACTGTAAAAGGATCTGCTAGGGCTGCTTAATTAGAGTGATTAATACTTTTAAATTATCTTATAGCTGACTTCCAAAAGATGCATAGGACATCATTATGAACTCTTCAAAAACCTTAGCATTGCAATATCCATAAACCAACACCACAGTACTTGCGTTCCACACTGGAGGTCTACAAACCAACACCATGGTGCCTGTTTGAGCATGAGAGGTCCAGAAACAGTAAATGTGTTCTTGATTTCCAGTGCACAGGCTACTCACAGACTGTCAGCTCACGCTGGACACCATGTGCCCCCTGCTGTCCACAGACACACCAGAAACTGACTGGATTTGTGGCTATAGGATAAGTTAAACACTGTGCTTTTCAGATTGTCAGTAGGTATTCATTGTTCTGTGCTTTTCCAATCTCACAGAAACACATTTCTCTTTGTGGCTCATAAACAAAGGAACATATTCATCTTTATTTCATTAAATTTAAATAACTTCAGTTATTTAAGTTTTCCATTGTAAATCTGCACAGCATTTTGGCAGTATTCCAGTTTTTTTGCTGCATGCTTTCCTATTTTTTACACAACCGGCTTTTTCAGAGGTGGTAAAATCATTTTCCATGCAGCTTTAAATTCTACCATAATCTCAAAGTGCTTTACACATTATTTTACTTTAACATTATATCCCAAAGCCAACTTTTAGAAAAGTCTGTAATGATTTCTAATATTTCTTAAATTTCTGTTTAAGAAAATGTGACTCTTTTGCCGTCATAGACATTTACCAATGAAAGTATGTTCAGCAGTTAAGCTGTTCTTGTTATCAGAAGCTACTGGAAGCTTCAGAGTTATGCATGATGCAGAACATTGGTATCCATAATAATAAACACCCATTCCTCAAAAGAAGAAAACAAAAATTCTTTTGTACATATAAATTATTACAATTTCATAAGTACTGTTTTAGTCAAGTTGTACCCTGGCAACAGCTTATGGGTCTAGAAAACAACAGTCTATTGATGCTAAACACATTCTACTCAATTATTATGCAAATTAGTGCACAGCAGCAGGGCAGTTTTTAAAAAAATAGGAGCTTTGTTCACAGTTTGTGCTATGAAGAATTTCTAATATTTTTCTATCTTTAACCATGCTTATATCAAAACTGTTTTCTCTCCTTTTCCTCTGTTCAGTCCATTTAATTGTCTAATAAATTCATGAGTTTAAAGACAAAAACATAACCAGACTGTTTCAAGACAGTGGGGTGTGTTTTGTCATAACCGCTGTTTACATCTACTCTAATCACTCACGAGGAGAGTCAGACTCAATCTATTTGTCAGGGAGACGTGCCCACTGGTCTGAAGACCATGCCCAGAGCACATGGAGGAAAGTGGCCTGTGCCCGTCTGCAGCAAAATAGTCAGACTCATTTTCTGAGTGATTTCTAAGTCTTCAAATCATATGCTAATGGAAAACCTAGGAATCTAAAGTTATGAAGCAGCAAAGATTATCAATATTCAAATGAAGGGACCTGAGACCTACAACCCCTAAACTACTAAATAACAGAACAATAAGAATGCATCTTATGCACCAGAAAAACGATGTACTAAAATATTGTGTAAAAGAAACAGCAATGTTACACCTGGGAGGTTTGGAGGCAATGACTGCAGTGACTTCATGTTGTGATTTTTCTCCAGTTCCAGGTTTCTCTGTGTATTCAGTTGGTATTATGATGAAGTGATAAAAACTGAATAGCCTTATTGTGCACTGAAACAATGTGTTTCCCTGCCAGCCTACATCCTTTCATGATTAACCAATTAGTCATGGTTCACACCCCAAAAACACACTGGGCTACATGTGCAGAGTCACGTTTCATAGGCATTCCAGTACTAGGCAAACAGGAGATACACACTTGAAGCTGAACTTGTTAAAAATGCCACTGAGGAAATATTTACATTGAAAAAAGAAACACTCATAGACTAACTTTGTGACCATTCAGGAAACAACCGTTGTTGTTCGATAGTTGTGCTGAAAAGGCAAGGCAGAAAATCTCAATATTTTATCATAAAGTAATGACTGCTAGATGCAGTCAGACATTTCTGTACTGGGAAATGACTAACATTTTTCAGACTATGACTCATTCTTATTTAATCTATTTCTTTGTAACAGGGCTAATCCTCACCTCATTCTATTTGCAAAAACAAATACAACTCTAATAATTAGTGTAGGAAACAGCTCAATTAAAAGTATCTTGGTATGAAGCAGAAATACAAATCCTTGCACACTGATCTTGTGCCATATTCCTCCACCTTCTGCTAGTTAGTGCAACTAGAAAACAAGAAGGACAGTGAGTGAATTAACTGAAAAATAAAATATATATGATTCCTACTGGATTATTATTCTGATCAAACTGCTTCAAAAATCCTGTAATGTTTAAAAATTGGGCTGCTGCTCTGCCTTTCTGACAGCTACTTTCACAGGAATTAATTAACAGGACAGGACAGAAAAGTAATCTCGTCAGGGACATCAATTATACAATTATCGACTTTGGGGTACCCCAAGTAACTCAAGTTGAATCTTCCAGCCAAGCATTAGTCTCTGGCAACAACTTCTCAAAAAAAGAGCAGGTCTTGTATGACAAGAGTCCAACATTTCAGAAGAGCTCCCCTGTGCCACCCCAAACACAGGGGAGAGCCAAAAAAAGTTTTGACAAAAACAGAGTTCTGTCATCACTTAAGAATGGGACTGCTCGTCCTTGTGCAAAAGAAAAAAACATGTTGACAGACTTCAGCCAGACTCCAGAAAGATAAAGCATTTTACTAGTAACATACAGTACAAAGCCTTGCAGGGATGCCAGTTTAAACACAAAGAAGGTGAGAGGTGGGGCTCCTCAGGAAGTCTGCTGCACAAAAGGGGAATGTAAATAATCTATTTAAAAAAGAAAACCCTGATCAAACTACAGCACTCACAGAAAATACATTTCTAAACATTTCTATAGTTCCTTAAGACACAGACACACCCATGCCTGCACTCCTGTAAGACTGCTACTAGGAATACCAGCTACTATGTCAAATTCATCATAGTGCATTTCTTTACTTCAGTGAATCTGAACTCACAGGGAGTGAATTCTTCGTAATTACACAGTTGGGACATTGAATGATAGATCTACTGTCACAGTTCACATTTGCCTTTTAAAAGTACTTGGAACAATACTGTGCCAAAAAGTTTATCAGAGCATGGACTGTGAAAGGATGAATAATATGACTGTGTAAGAGTTTATATAAGTTTATATCACTGGGAATTTTAATTAGAGGACTATTTCCTTACAAATCTGAGGTGTGTAAGAAAACAGGCTAGTGATCTAACACAGAACTGCAACCTGAGTACGTCTACAAAACAGCTCAATATCTGTAATATAAATGTAGTGCCGCTTGGGGCGGTGCGGTGGCTCTGTGGCTAAGGATCTGCGCCTGTCACTGGAATGTTGCCAGTTCAAATCCCGCAGCCGGCAGAGGAATCCTACTCCATTGGGCCCCTGAGCGAGGCCCTTAACCCCAACTGCTCCAGGGGCGCTGTACAATGGCTGACCCTGTGCTCTGACCCCAAGCTTCTCTCCCTGTCTGTGTGTCTGTGTCTCATGGAGAGCAAGCTGGGGTATGTGAAAAGATGAATTCCTAATGAAAGAAAATAAAGTGATGATATGTTACCAGAGCTGCATGTCACCAAGGACTGTTTTCTCCACACAGCTACAGCGAAACACTACTGTGAAAAGTAAAGATTAGGCACATTCTGAGAGCAGCTAAGTGGAGAATGAATTCAGGAGCTGTTCTGAAGGACCTCGACATACCTGTAATCCTCAGTCAGACTGACGCTGGACTCCTCCTTCCTCAGCCGCGACAGTGTCGCCCCGCCCTCCAGCTGTAGCCGCACCAGCCGGCAGTCCTCCAGCACTGACCTCATCAGGCTGCGGTACCTGTCAAGCAGGGCTGGTGCCTCCTGCAGGCCGAGACACAGCAGACTACTGAAACCACCGCGGCACAGATACTTTCAGAGTTAAGAAATAAATTTAGACTAATTAAAAGAAACATAATATCAATTTAATTTTAGTCATATGAGCTCTACAAATACTTTCTTAAAATGTGTTAATCAATGGAAGTTATAAATTCAAGTTGTTTAATATACGGGTAGTTACATTTCCTTTACTGCTTGATACATCCCAAACATAATTTAGCTGAAGACTAGACAAGAGTGGTCTAAATGTTTTTGACATTTTGACAGTTTTCAGAAGCAAAAAAAGTTACACAAACACACTTGGCAGACTTTGCTTAAAATTCTGTAAGGTCAAAGTCAACCACAGGGATATCATTTTATTTTACATAAAGGATGGTTGTTGTAGACAAGGAGCAAAATCCTGTTGTTGAAGCTGGTTCCCTAGAAACCTCGAGGAAACATCTAGATAAACCATTTGGATCAATGAGCTACTAGCAGACAAACGAACAATGGGTTGAAACTGTAACCTTTCGATTTTCCTCTGAGTGTGCCATTGATGCCACCAGGCTGTGGTTACAATCAGGGCCTTCTGATCCCTAACTGATAGCACTAGGCTCTGATCAAGGGCAGGAAATGCTGGGGAGGGAGATAAATCCCAGGGAAAAAAAATTGCTTTGTGTCAATGGTGTGTCCACCTGTATTGAACATTCTCCAATTTGGAAAAGGGCTTGGCTAGCACTTATCCTTGCAGTAAAAGCAGTAAGAGAAATCAATACCCCATCAACAATCATTTCCCATGACACCGACATCACATGCTGTTTGTCTACCTCCATTTTTACGAAGATTGGCAGAGGAAGATACGTATACCCTCAGGGATTCTGACAAGGCTCCCCTGTTAATGCTCGGTTTACCAGGGATTACACCATGTCTTCATGTTTCTCAGTGACCCACACTGAGTCAAGTCCCACTTATCAGAAAACTCACTGGCATTTAAAGGTCATCTTAAGCATTTTGTTGCATACGCAATACAGAGCAATAGATTAAACAATTCAGAATTCTGTTAAATTACATACAGTGGTGTGAAAAAATGTTTGCCCCCTTCCTGATTTCTTATTTTTTTGCATGTTTGTCACACTGAAATGTTTCAGATCATCAAACAAATTGAAATATTAGACAAAGATAACACAAGTAAACACAAAATGCAGTTTTTAAATTAAGGTTTTTATTATTAAGGGAAAAAAATCCAAACCTACATGGCCCTGTGTGAAAAAGTGATTGCCCCCTAAACCTAATAACTGGTTGGCCCACCCTTAGCAGCAAACAAGCAAAAAAATAAGAAATCAGGAAGGGGGCAAACACTTTTTCACACCACTGTAAATTGGTCATTTGTTCGTGGATGTCCATTTAAAACATAATTCTTTATGCAAAAGGTTATAGTACTATACAATAAGCTACTCTTACCATGTTGTGATGCCAATAACATGACTTCTTTCAATAAACAGATGTGATATATTCACTGGATTAATAAGGTACTAAGTACCAAAGTGGCTAGACTGGCCAAATGGCCTTCTTTTACTTGTAACCATACTGATGTTCTTAAGCGCTTTTAATTTACTTAGAAGATGTCGTTATCAAGGGAGTCTTATAGAAATAACTTCATAAAATTGCTAAATGTGGTGTTCATGCTGATAATCAGATTTGTTTACTGAAAGTGTCTTTAGGGTTAATTTCCAAGGTGGTAGAAGCAGTCACTGAACAGGAAGCAGAACAGCAGTGGCTGGAAAGTCACTGAAATGATACACAGGAAACGATAGGAGCAAGGCAGCATGCTGGTATGGAAAAGAAGGACACTGACCCAAAGGCCCAGGTGAACTAGAATCTTAGGCTAAAGTGGAAGGAAGTATAGCCTTTGACAGCACATTAAATGTCATTCCTACCTCTGCCACGGTGGGCAGTGAGCTGGACTGCAGGCTTGCAATGGTCCCTTGCAGGAAGCAAGCTGCATCCCTGCAGTTCTGAGCCAATTGCTCCACTCTCTGCAAAAGGTAAGGTAAGCCATGTCAGAGGAAAGTCACAGAAAGAAAGCATAGCCTCAGTCTGTCACATAGACATTCATTTTCTTCTGAATTTCTCTCTCCCTACATGTATAAAAAGTGACTGAACAATTATTTGCTGTAGTGGCAAAAAAGACTGTACTAATACCACTACTACTATCAATAAATCTATTGTTACCACTACCACTGTACATGTTAATGACTCGCTAGCTCACTTCAAGAACAGTTATGCCATTGTCTTAAGCGATTCAGTCACTCCACCTTAAAAAATCAATCTTGCAAACTGCTTATGTCCCTGTGACAACCTGTATTCTTTCTCATGAAACGCTTAAAAACTCACATGATAAGTCAGCTATATTAGCGGCTTCAGAAATAACTATGGTTCTCCTCCTCACATGCTTAGCATCCCCTAGTAAATTCTTTTTGGAGCCAGCACTAGAGCTAGTCATAATAATACTAATAACAAAAAAGCTATATATACACAGAGTTTGCTTACTTTTCGGAAGCTGACCCAGTTGCTATGGCAGAAAGGAAAGCTGCCGTCAAACTCCTGTGGCAGCTGTGTGCTGTCGATATGCTTGTGAAGAGACTTGAGTGAAGTGAGGAGTTCAAACTGCAAGGCAGAAAAGGGATTGGGTTAACAGTGCTTACACATGTTCCAGGTAACATCATCTTGCCACACCAACATGGAGCCCTGCCTGCACAGATCCCAGCACAAGGGGTCAGTTCACACCTGCCCCCACAGCACTGTGCAAACCTGCAAAGAACACTTCCCTAAAATGGTATCTTCCTTAAAACAGATCACTTCTATGTTCTTTCCAAAGCTTATTTTTCTGTGAAAATGAAAGAATACAGTGACTGAAAAAGAGAGGTGCCCCTATAGGCAACGCATGATGTCTTATCTGTAAGTTATCACTTAATATGTATTATACCTTTAACCTAGAGGGCAACATTTTCATTCAGATGATGATCACACTTATGACTTTCATAAGTTCATACCGCTGCGAATTTTACGGAAGCCATCTGAAGTACACTACTCAAGAATATAAAAGCAGTTTCCCACCTGGGATTTAAGCCAACAACCTTCCAGTTACAATTTCAGAGCCTTAACCACTGCTCCACACAGCTGCCGAAAACAATATACTAAATATCAGCACTATTATCCCCAATGATAGCAATGACAAAACAAGTAAGCAACAAAAAAATAAAAATTAGTTACACCAAAATTTTGTGAATGCTATCAACAACTAGTGGTTTTATAATGCTACCAAATGCAAGCTACATGTATTTTATCTGGAAATATCTTGAGTAGCAGGTGGAGGGTTTAAGTGGGTTTTAAAGTTGACAGAATAAACAATGTTGCTCACAATCTGTTTCCAGTTTGTCTACATCTTTAGACATTATTCTAAAGCTTCTTACTTTTTCACTGCATTTATGGTTAAATAAAGTTTAAGACTAACAAACAATTTTAAAAGCAACAATCAGAAAAGGCAGTACGAAAGCTTTTGTTCTTCTCTAGGAAGGCTGGTGTTTAATACTGATGATTGCTTCCCAGTTCAGAGCTGAATCAGGAGAACCGATTCCTTGTGCTGCACGTTACCAAGGAGGTGCTGGACAGCTGCAGGATACAGGAGGTCCCTTCACAATATTTTCAACTCCGGGGAGTGAACAACCCTTTATTTCTGATAGCAGCAAGATGATGCCTTTTAAAGATTAAAGTATGTGTTCATAGGTTATTGTTTCAGCTCAGCTATTAATTACATAAATATATGAGTTGCTTAATGGTAAAATGTTAACTATGTCACCCAGCTCATAAGGGTCTGGTACTTCATCAGAGACCTGCAAACCAGCAGACACAGCAGGTCTCCAGGACCAGTTCTATACAAAAGTCATGATGATTGTGTTAACTCCCTAATGTACTGTAATGATACTGCTATTGAATGCTGCCTTTCTGATGCTTTGGACATTTCTAATTTACACAATTTAAAAGAACCTTCTTCAATGGTCTATTAAAAGTTGATAAAAATGTACAACTACAAAGGAGCCTGCTTGAGGCAAAGATATAAGTTCTTTAAAGAACTGAATTACCTGCATAGCAGAGGGTTTCTCCATACGAAAGGTGAGGTCTCTATCAGCCAGCAGCAGTACAGTGTGAATACAGTTGGGAACTGCTTCCTATCAAAGAGTAGGAAGAAAAAGTTAAGAAAATGCATTTTTCTATTTTTCACACAAAATACATAAGCTTGCTTTTCAGGAGTTCATTATCATTTGAACCTTTAGTCATCTGTGCTATGTGGACATACTGTGAAAAGTGGCCTACCTCAGGTTCACACCTCCATTCCCAAAAAACAAGATTTAATCTTGCTCACAGCTTCACACTGAGATACACTGTAACATCAATTTCCAAGTTGGCTTAAACACAACTGTATTACGTCTGCTCACCAAACTACAGTATACTATCGTTTTGCTATCATAGGGTTTCAATGGCACTCAAAGGCTGCTAGCATGAACTGTGCTCTGAGGAGAATGTTCTAAAACTCTCTGATGCATGTAAGACCAATGCTGAACTGTCTTAGTCATCTAAGAAGTTCATGACAAACGATGTCATGGTGCAGAGATAAAGCTCTGTATCGAGAACCCCCTGCATGCTGCACGTCTTTGTTCAAGCACCATGAGAAGTGACAACTGAAACAGCAGCCTTCTTGGGACTGACAGACAAAAGAATGTGCAATCCGACCTGTTTCCTCTGGGGGGAACAATCCCATTAGCCCTGTCAGGTGTCCTGCCATTCTATCCTGAGAGACACTGCCTGTGAGCAGAGATTAGACTTCCTGCACCAACCTCACAGAGAAGGGGGGAGGAGAGCTAATTTATAGCAAACAATTTACATCTATTAAGAAATAAAAGCACATATTACATATTACTGATACATTAAATGATGAACATACTGTATCTCCTGCTCAGTTCTCAGTTAGTTCTTATATATAACTCTATATAATTTAAATGTTTGAATTTCTCTAAGGCAATATGTCCTCAATTTAAATTAAAACAACACATTTTCTTTAGGTGGTTCAATTCTGTTGTTTTTTTTTATTTATTCCTAACTGAATACATATGTATAGTACATAAAATTATATTTGAGAAATAACCATCTAACAGTCTTAAATTCATTATCATTTTCATAAAAGCATATTTTTCACCTTTTAGTGTAGTCCTATTTAAACAAAAAATATATAAAAACGTAGCCCATGAAACAGTTTGACTTGTGGTGAGGTAAATAAGGTAGCCCACTGCACACAGACTAATCAAGTACGGAAAAAGAGTCTGTCTAGGTACAGAAGTAAAGGCTACATCAGGTTTAATTCCGAAAGAATGCAGTTCAGCAATGCTCAAGTGTAAACATCTCTGTCATTCATGAAACATTTGAGTGTCAGTGCAAACAATTAAGGACAACGTTTACTTCACAGTCATAACACTGATAACACTGGGACACCCAGCCTTGATGAAGAAAGTCTTATTAATAATTATTTTTATTTGCCTTATTAACACCATAATAACAGAGTGTAGCTTGTGTTTTTCAAGAACACAGGTTTCGTCATAATAAAACTTACTTAAAACATGGAGATCTTAAAATTAACAGCTACATTGTGAAGACAACAAAAGTAGGGCTTCTGTAAGGTACTGTAAAAACAACGGACAACTGCAAGGGCCATCGCAGCCCACTTTGAAAACCGTTGCAGTTTTGCCTGTAGCATATTGTGCTGCAGGCTGGACTGTTTTTATTTTCTTCCCAAACAGTCAAACCTACACTTTAAACAATGTCTGCAGGCCCCCAGACTACTTGGTTAGATGCAGGCAAGGAGACACCTTGGTTGTTACACAATTTTTTTTTAGCCAAAGTATATTAAACTGCATACAGCTGTATAAAGGTAGTTATCAAGACAGCGTTCCTATTCTTGAAATGTTGAAGTTAGTGACTTGATATTGTACAGGAAAACAAGAATTAAGTTTATCTATACACCAGGACTGAAACATTCTGATTACCCAGTCAACGTGTTTGCACATCTGAATATCAAGTCCACATTTTTAGGAGAAAGTGTATAGTTGGATCTTAGCCCACCATGGTAAAATAAGGCATCACATACTACATTAATTATTCTCATGATGTAATAATAAATTCTGTTGTTAAATTTGAGTGTTTCATGCCACCACAAAGACAATATCATGTGCAGGACCTGCTGTACAAAAGCCACTGCTCATGTGTTAGGTATTTGTCCTTGTGAGGATAGATGGAAACACACTGCAAAGAACTCAAGACAGCGAGAAGTTGCTCTCATTCTGATTCATTACATTATTTATTCACAGTGACTCCACTACTATTGTCACAACCGATCCTAGTGCTGTAAGGGTCACTGCACCATCTGTACACCTATGAGTTTTGGTAATGAAAATAAGCGACATGAACCAAGCTATATCTAGTTTGCAAACACAGCTCAGATTAGATATAATTTCTCAAATCTCATATTGAGTACAATCTAAAACCCTATTGACCCAAATAGAAAGTTATCAACAGCTGATATATGTCAACAATGAAATTCAGGCTAGGCTTTATCTCACTAAACCCTGTAAGTACTGTACTTATTCCTATGTACACATCTGATAGTCTTGTCTGAACTAAATGCAATAACATATTGAAGATATCAGAAACGTATTTTGATTGTGCTTCCCCCCCCAAAGAAAATCTTACATGATTGCAAATACAGAAATGAATTTCAATATCATCACCTGAAAGAAAACAGAAAAGTATTTTCCAATCACTGTTGTGAATTTGAAAAGTTTTGTTAGCCATATAATATAAGGCTGTTCATTCCTGCCGTAGAACACATTCATGTAATAAAAACTACATGTCTCCTTCCATTAGTGATGTGCCACAAGCTACTTTTGAATTTGACTTTCTCGCATTTACAGAGGGCCTTTTTTAATTATCTCTGCATTTAATTTGTCAGATACGGCTGGCACGCAAGGCTCTGTGGTCCAAGCCAGGGCTTTAAATCAATCTCCAAGCTAAACTGGCAGCAGAATAAACAGACAGGAATAATTAGCTAGGTCTTTCAGAGCAGGGGGTGGAGCCCATTTATCACACCCAGCACCCAGCCCTAAGCATGCAGCCTAGACAGAGCAGCAGCCTTGTGTCCCTACTGTTAACTTTCACTGAATTGTAAACATTTCATATTCACAGAGAAACACAAATACTTAACACACAACCAGGCCCCAGCTACGAAACCTCATACTCCATAAGCTGGGGTATGCAGATATTCATAAACAAAAATACAAAACATTAGCCTCTTCACTTTATTGTGTGTTTAAAATCCAGTGTTAAAAATCATGTTTTTTTAAACTAAAAAGAAGTCAAGGAGTTCAAATCTGTGTGTATATAATCTTCCAAAATCACTTCAGTTTTGGAGTGAAATGTAGGTGGTGGCAAAGGTGGTTTTTAAGATGGGATGTTCTGTCTCTCCACACAGAAAAAAAACTGTACCTGTAGGACGTTAAAGGCCTTGAAGAGTGCAGGTACAGGTGAGCATCTACGAGCATCCACCAGCACAGTCAGGCCAAGGGAACGCACCTCTTTTCTGTTAAAACATCAACACGGTGACAACAGTATCACCCACACAGGCACACAGAACATCTCTGACACATCTAACTCTTCATGCCCTTTCCTTCAAGAGGTCTGGTGCTAACTATATTACACTAACATACTATATTATTAAAGTCTGTATTGGAGTACCTGAGAATGGAGTAGAAATATGCCAGAATCCGGACAAGTTCAGTGCTGTTGCAGTTTGGGTTTAACCAAATTGTATGTCTTGTTGTCACAGTCACTACTGCACGTCCACTTTTATCTCTGGTACCTATAATATGAAAACATAAGGAAAGACATGAAAGTGGAGAGAAGGAAGCGAACCTAGCTCAATGAACACCACACACCATTAAAACAGCTTTTTTTAAAAAAATAATTCCATAGGAATTGTTCTTTTCTATTAAAAAAGAACATTTTTTTTAAAGAAACAGGTCACTGTCATTCTTGCCGTCTGCCATAAGACTGTACAACGCATCCACCTTGCGTCTTGGCAGAGGCAACAGCGACAGTGACCTGTTTCTGGACTAAACGCATATACACATCTACTGCTACATCTGTTCTCTTTCTTTTTCTTTTTCCCGTTTACAACCACTTTTGTGCAATATATGCCAGGGACCTGTGCAATACATTTATATTTATATCTATGGTTACATCTATATTTATATTCATACGTGTGATACGATTTTCTGTGTACTGTTCTGTTCTAGTTTCCTCTTGTGTGTCCGGACTGTGAGTAACTCTTGTATTGTATTGTATGTATTGTACTATTAGTATATAATTCGTTACACTGTGGCTGTGTTGTGTGTGTTAAGCTGCTGTTGCACTGCAATTTCCCTCACGGGATCAATAAAGTATCTATCTATCTAAAAAGCAAGTATGAGGCTATAGCAGGAAAATCGGCATCTTTTGACAAATTGACATTATAACAATAAAATGCTGCAAGGAAAAGCTTTTTTGTAAAAATGCAGAATATTTACTTAAAATATCATGGGATGTCATTTCCTAAATTAATATTATTGATTAATTTACACAGGTACAAATTAAGGTTTTTGAAATGACCTACAATTTAGAAGTTTACTTGGTTCTTCACTGTCACAGAAAGATAAAGAATTATATTTTAAAACCCCCCAAAAAATAAATTCTGCTTTTAAGTGGTTTTGGCAGACTGAAAGAATTACACACAACTAGCTGAGAGACATTTGCATTCTCTATATCATCACTCAAAAGATCATATTCCAATGACAGAGGGAGAAGCTGCACTCTCACACCCCATTCCTCCATCTTGTGAGAGATGCATTTTACACACCAGGTAAGCACAGCACTCCAGAGCATAGCACGTCTGCATTGATGTCATGGGCCCGAGAAGGAACATGCTTGAGTTTGGAGGACGCTGCTAAGAAAGACAGAGGTTCCTGCTGCTTCACTGCTGGCCCTTCATCCTTGCCTGACACTGGACAGTCCAGGTTTCGTAAAAACAAAGACCCCTCTCTGCCTGGCACTGTCCTCTCCCTTTCCAGACAGTCTCCTGTGGGCAGAGACACAAACAGATTAACACACAGAACCAGAGAGCTGTAGAGCAGAAGCCACTACAATGGTTTAGTAAATCACTTAATATAATTCTACAACACTTCATATTTTCAAATCTTTAGACTTTCAAATTACAAAAAAGGGCACATAAAACACAAACCATTTTCACTAGTTTGTAAATAACTGTATGCCCTTGCCAGCACCACGGCAATGCGGCCAGCAAAGCAAGGCTGTGAGTGCAAAGAGATTTCTGCTGTGCATCTTTCCTACAGGGAGCATGTCTTTATACTGTTCCCAAGACTGCTGCCTACTCAAAGAAGTTCACGGTCTTGAAAAAAGGTACAGAATGGAAACAGAACTTCTTAAATACTATTTGATGGCACAACACTCTCCATTAGAAATTAATCCAAGCTGCTATTAAATATGTTGACAGACAGTTGTAAGACAAGTAATTTCAGGACAAATACATCTTATAACTGATGGTCATATGAACTCCAATATTACTAAACAAGACTGGTGACAGAAAACAAGGAAAAATGAATGTAAATATTAATTAAAAGGGGAATTGTCTTGGTGCATGGCCCATTTCTGCTTAGCCAGAAGAGGTAAACACACACAACAGCACAACAAAGCATTTAATTCCTGCTCAACTCCTTGCTTTACTGTACTACTGCATCTCAATCTGTCAAGTGAACACAGAGTGCACTATTTAAAGCACAGTTTGAGAAAATAAATCCTCCCATTACTGACTCTCCATGCCTCCAATTCCTTGTTTTATAGAGTGTTCCACTGCTGCTGAGCTCCAAACTGTGCCTTTAGCCCCACAAAATGTGCAATGCCGTACAGAAAGTTATTTCAGTCATGTCTATTAAATCTCTGCACCCAGCTGATTCACTTCCTGCTACTCAACAGCTGGAAAGCCAGATCAGCCAAGACAGCCCTCCACCTTGTTCAGGAAGAACACAATCAAGTCTGCTGGCCATCTTGGGTCAGTTATGCTGTGCAGCTATTAGGAAGAACTGTTGACTGCAGAGAATCAATATAAATTAATCTGAGTACCAGGTACAGGCTTTCCAAATTCAGTGGTGTGTTTTGGCTGTGTGTGACTGATGATATATACAGTATATTGTACATTTACTAGCAATATTACAGCAATATTATTTAACTGTTTGGAGCATAAGACTGAGAACTACTTCATGTTCATGCTTTGACTAATCCAGTAAAGTCAAGGGCATTTTCTTCTTGTCCAACAAGTCAGCACTCACTTCTTTGCTTGCAACTGCTTTTAACACTCAGGGAGCAAATCAATTTCACCTTAGAGTATATTCTGCCAAAATGTTCAAACAATTAAAAGCAGAAAATATGCTGAACCACAATATGCAGTAAGCATATAAGAAAGATGACAATCAGGAGGAGCCCAGATAGCAGATAACAAATGAGGATCTCATACTGCCATTTCCAGTTATCAGTTTTGTCAACATGACTGGTTGTCTTATTTTAGACTCCTAGAAACCTTTATGTAATAAATAACGACTCATGTTCTCAGTCACAAATGGAAAAAAAAGTTAAAAACATGTTTAGCATGTAGCAATGTTACCAAATATTTAATTTCAAAGAAATAATTCTGAACCTGAAGCTGAAAACCTATGTAACATGTGATTATTTAAATTACTAAAATTTTCCCAGAAATTAACATATTTTTGCTTTTGTGATTCTAAAAAATGCAATGATCATAGAAGACTTTGCCTGCAAAACTAAACATTAGTTAAGACACAGGACACATCTTACCTACAGTATTTCAACCATCTTTGTAAATGCCTGCCTTTTGAAATTTGTTTTTGTTCTACATACAGGTAGGCAACCACCCACTTGGATGGAGAGTCAGTTATCTCTTTTGGCATTTGCAAAAGCAGCCCACCCTGGTATTGGCCTCAGTGAAGCCTCATGCAGTTCTGGTCCACTGATACACACTGCAAGTCACCTTTACACACCTCTGCTATTAAATTACACCATTCCTATACAGACTCATCAATCTACACCTTTTGAAGACACCTCTAAAGGGGAAGAAAACAGCACAATGCTTCCGTCTTCAGCCCATTTTCTTCTTTTTTGCATCAATTCACTGTTTACTCGGAGCTGTTACAGGATCTTCTTCTGTGAAATTCTTTATGTAGAACACCTTGTCAAGATGAATAATGTAGGCCTACATCTATCAAGAACTTAACCACTGGCCTGTTTCTCGAACACAGCAGCCTCAGTGGAATAATTTAATAATTTCTTATTCAATAAATTTTGCCTTTCCAAATGTGTTCTTGATGCCCCACACTACTGAATAAGGCAGTGGAAAAACTGTTAAGAGCTCTGTAACACAGAGAGGAAGTTAAAAATACCAAGCAACCCCCAAAATTTAGAACAATTAAATACATTTGAAGTGATACCATAAACTATAGGAGTTGGCAATGTAACCATAAATTATGAGATTACGAAACCAACTATTTTAATGCAGGAAATGATTAATGTCAACAGAGTTGAAAGGTCTTTAAGGGATCTTAAGTTGATTTTCAAAGGTCCGAGGCTGACAAACAAATGAAAGGATTCTATTTGCATTAATTACAGGTATGAGCTGGAATAACAAGTATTATTATTAAAGTACTAGACATTGCTGCTGGCTACTGTAACACCCAGATACATTTGAATACTCTGAACAAAAATACATTATTTGAAGACACCAAAGTTTCAATTTAAACTTCTTTCAGTGCAGCAAATATATTTACATAAATTTATCTGAAGCATTCTTTACAGACATAAATCTAGTCAAAGCCATTAAGGTAATTTTTATATGGCAGTGCAAAGTTACAGAAACAAAACAAAATCATGGAGGACAATGGAGGACAGGAGGAGGTGGGTGAAGACAGAAGGAGAGCATTTAATTGGAAATCAATCAAAACTTCACAAGATCTCTTCTAAAAACAGGATGCTTAAGGGATTTGAAAAGAATGATTTGTGTTACTGCCAAGAAATAGCTTCTGACTTGGCAGTAGGATTTGTCATTAAGAAAGTTAAAAAAAATAATTAGAAAGTAAATCACGGAAGAATGGATGTGAGAGATGAAAAAGTGGAAAAACTGAAGACTTAAAGGAATGAAGCAATAACTGTGTTAATTTTTTGTAAATTGAAAGAGCTACCTTTTTCAGGGGATTCCATTGATGTTTCTTGATCTCCATCTACAGAACTTGTAATTACGTTCCAAGTCATTTCAGGCCCGTTCCTTTGCTTTTCTATCTGCTGGGCATGCCTCTCAGAGGACCCTGTCTCACCCATGCTTGTTTCCTCCTCCCGCCTCTGCTCCTTTACTCTGGCAGGTAGTGAATGGCCATCTTCCCAAACTGCCTTATTAGACACATCAGCGCTGAAGCCCTCATCCTGAAGCTCTGTGTGCAATCCAGCAGAACAGTCCTGGCTCGTCAGGAGCGCAGCGCTTTGTGATCCTCCTGACTCGGTACCAGGAGCACTGTTATTAAAGAGGATTTGTCGGCTTTCTGCTTTACATTCCACATTCCCGTCATCACTTTCCTCCCTGCTGCCTTTCGGCTCTGTTTCTAATTTATCCAAATCCTCCTTGCTACTCACACCCTGTAACAAGCTCCCTCTCTCCACATTCCAGTTTGCTTGTGGTGCGTCACCTGTGCTGGCAGGTGAGATGCACTTTTCCGGGGATGTTCCAGAATGCTGGAATGTGGTTTCCAATGATTCTCTGTGCATAGTCTTTATAAGCCCTGTCTCCTCAGCATCCACTAACAACTTTTCAGACACTTTCTCTTCCTTACCTTCATATTCTACACACTGTAAGCTAGTGCAAGCTATGTCCATACTTACTGCCTGTTGCTTGATCTCCTGGTTGAGTGAAACCTGACCCTGCTCTACAGCTGCACTTCTTTCTAGCTCTTCGGCAGATCTAAGTTCTACCTGCTCCACAGAATTACTTTTCAACTTGGTGGCACCCAATTCCAATTCATTTGTTCTGCTTTTCAATTGATCGCCCACAGCCCTCTCAGAAGACAAGGCAGTGTCAGCAATGAATGGGGGATTAGCGTTTTCACACAATGCTGTCATGTTCTGAAGCTCTGCGTTAGAAGTGTGTGAGGGGGCAGGAGTATCAGACACTACCTCCTCACACAGAGCCCCACTGTCCTGCCTTTGCATGCTTGACTGCCGTTTGGAGCCTTTAGTGACAGATGCAAGTTTTGAATCTGTCACCTCCCCATCATGCCCACTGCTAACCCTGTCAGTACTGTCACCAGAATTGAGTGTCCTACCTACTGAGCTTAATGGATTACTACTTGAGCCCTCAATAACAACCTCCTCTTCTCCTTCTAGAACCTCTCTGCATTTTTGTAAAACATCAGTGTCGCTGTCATAACTGAACTCTGGCTCCCTGAAATTTGTAGGAATTCCAAGGCCCTCCAAATGAATGCCACAGGCACCAGTGACACCAAGGAGTTCTTTATCTAAACCTGAGCCACAGCTCACTACATCAGAACCTAAAGCTGTGGTGGGATCTAATCTACCACATTCAGGCTCATCAGCGATAATATCCAGGGTTGTACCTTCCACATTTTTTGAAGTACTGTCCTTTGATGCCAGTGAATCACTCACAACCTCTGCCAGAGGGGATGTTAAGCTTACAGGACAGTCTTTTGAAGAGGAACTAGGTTTGCCAGCCATGTTCAGGTTCTCCTCTATGAGGCTGATACAAACCATGGTCTGAGAGCAAGTGCTGCTTTTAACGGGCGGCTCAGACATTTTGGCTTCCAAATGCCTGTTAGTCCTCATTTTATTTTGGTTTTTATAATTCAAGCTTATGGACTCAGTCAGTGATCCTTTTTGTGGAAAAAACCTAGGGAGAGGAATGTCTGCTAGCTCCACGTATTCCCCCTCCAGATCCTGATCTGATTCCTCTGACACACTTTCAGTAACCTTCTGCCAGCTGACTTCCTCCCTGTGAGGTGGCAGGGACTGGTTTTGGAGCTTGGCCTCCTGTTCTTTACTCTCCTCTCCTTTGTGCGTCTTGTTAGTGCTGACTGAGGGGTATGGGCCTTTCCCAGAGGACTGGCTCTCCTGTGAACCCTTCCATTCAGTCCCCTCGCTCACTAGCCTGGCAAGACCAGCGTCAATCATTTTTGGTTTGCTGATGAACTCCGGATGGACCACGTCCTCCCAGGGAACCCGGAATATGTTGTTATCTGTAGACAAGAGACAGTGTTCCAAGTTTGTTCCCATCCGCTCCCTGTTAATGGAATCTAGCCAGTCCATAGTGAAGATGGAGGTGTAGGTTATCTCTGGCACCTCCAGCTCCTCCACATTATGCCTGTCTCTGGCCAAGCACTTCAGCACAATGCGTGGAGTCTGCTTAAGGTATGGCACCACCTGCAGGTAGAAGTCTCCTGGCCTCAGGGCACGCCAGTCTAGTGAGGCCAGCTGAATTATAATCCTTTCATGGATGCACAAAGGCCAGCCTTCATGACGGAAGAGAAATCCACAATACTGAAACTACAAAGGAAAAGGAAATATTACAGGTTATTATTGAACAGACCATCAGTACGATAGCTCTCAATGCTTTCACACACTCACAAAATGTTAAGCATTTAGTATATAAGCTTCCTAGATTTGTCAATCTTTTTCTCCAGTTAAAGATTAATTTGAAAATAATTTAATACACAGAAGTGTAAAACAAACAATGAAAACCTAAAGAATTGGCTCTTCTTCTCCATGAAACAAGGAAGGTGAGAGATCTAAAAATACAATATAAATACTTAAATGTTATCTTAGTGCTGGACAGGCTATGGTTGATTTTCCACAGATATAATTTATATTCATCTTGCAAAACACTCCATGCTGTAATGTGAAAAGGATTAGGAGGTTTAATTAAGGGCTAACACAGAGCCACACAGAGAAAAGATTCTGGGACAGTCTCCAGTTTAGGGTTAAGAGATTAGAAGAGTGCAGTGCTTTAGGAAAGCCTGATTTGCACACATGGGAACTTGCAGCAGCAGGCAACTTCATTCACCTGAGATGAAAAACTGGCTTATTAACCAGAAAAAAGACGTGTTTTGAATAAATAGTTTGCTTGGCATTATCTATAACAACAAACAGCATTCTTTTCAGCTGCTACTTCCGATATGCCCATAATGTGAAAAGACAAAGTTTCAGACTCAGAACGAGTCCTGCGATTCCTCCAGCAGGAGCAAGGCCTCCTTTGTGCCTCTGACACTGAGCCCTCTCTGGATTCAGCCTCCTTGCACAGACTCATAATGCACAGGGAGAGATTAACAGTGCCCTGTAAAGACCAGGGTTAACATCAGAAGAATTAGCTCAAGGAAGGGTTGACTAATTTTGGTTAACTTAATGTGCAATAATAATAATAACAACAACAATATTATTGTTATTATTATTATTATTATTATTATTAAACAGAGAAAAAAGTCTGAGGACTTGAGGGTATATGGATGAATGAAAGACATTTTCTTCCACTATTCTTGGCTACTATTTTCAAATGCACCCTGATTAAAGGAAAACCTGTGATTAAACCCAGAGCCAGGGTGGGAATTTGACGTTGGAGATGGGTTGTGTTTCTAAAACAAACCAACTCTGAAACTCAAAGCCTTTACAGGCTCAGTGCACAAAGCAACAGAGAAGAACCGTGAGCAAGTATCAAATTGTTTCTGGGAAGGTTACACAACACCTAAACCAAAACACTGAATATTTCCAGAACCTGCAAAACTCGGAGGGAACAGTAATTCACACTGCTCCCACTACTGTAACAGACCTGTTTTCAGTTTCTGTTCCTTTTTATTTTAACTCAATGGAGTGAGGGCTGGAAATGCTCTTCCTGCATGTCAGCATGTCAGCAAGTCACTTGTCTTCTCTATCAATCACCCTCTCACAACTCCCAGGATATTAGCTTTTCACTAAGACTCGATACATTTCATATTCAAGAGACGTACTTAGGTTTATCAATTCAGAACCAACACAAAGGATTAGTAGAAAACTAATTTCTTTGCATTTCAGACAGCCCTGGATGGTCTCTTGCATGCTACACAATAGCACCCTTGTCAGATTACCTGCAGAGAAAAAGTCAGACAGGCAGATGCCACTGAAAGGTCCAAAAGGGTCTGACCATTTCCTTTCACTTAGAAAGTCACAGTCCACAACTAATTATAATTCATTATGCTTCAGCTATCACCGACTGTTGCAAAAATGCATAATAATGCACAGCACATATCAAACCTATTTAATATTGTATTCAAAATATTTTAAGAGGTTTATCAGCAAACTATTTGAAATAATTCCAGAGGGAAACATATTATTATTCAATAGTAATCCCTGAGTAGATAAGTCATAGAACAGAACAAATATAAATTTTAATACACATTTAAAAGGCCCTTTCTGACTGTTAAAATGGTGTTCTTGCACACTTGAAAGGATGGGTTTATGAGCAATGGGTTTATTGTACAGCTGGCTGAAGCTTGAACACAGGCATCTGATCATGTTTCAGCCTTTTAATTACATAATCCTATCAATTTACTTTAGGCCTTCATGCCTGAAAAGTACATATTGGAAAAAACCTTCATCAGTGCTGTAAGCAAACTATAGGCAGATAAGATGTAAAAGCTGCTATTGTCCTCAAGCTGAATGAAAAGACAGCTGAGGACAGCAGCAGTGGGGATATTAAAGTCCTGGCAAATCCTTTGCCTGGAATCCTAAGGATACAGTCCATCACCATGGCAAATAGTAGGCCTTGGCTTTGGATGAACGCAATCAGAAATGTACCAAGGGTGCGGTAATATACAGTAACAGACTAGATTCGAGCAAACCTAACAACTGCCATGTTATTCTGCCACAGTGTCAAGACTGCAATACCCTGAATTGAGCAGGAACACTTTGACACTGTAGTGGAACCGAGAGCCACAGCAACTAAAGATGTCATTATCAAGGCATCTATTCAACACCAATGCAGAGCCTTGCTACTAAATAACAATAACAAAACTGCTGACACAGTTAAAACATACCATACTACAATCAAAGGGAGTACAATGAAATTAAAGGCATGGCGAAGGATTCATAGAATAAAACACAATACAAACTTGAGACAAGTAAAGAAAATGCACGGTACAAATAAAGTAGGGCAGCACAGCGACGCAGTGGTTAGCATTGCTGTCTCATAGCTTCGGGGTCCTATTTGCGCAGAGTTTCTATGTTCTCCCTGTGTTCAGCTGGGTTTTCTCCCACACCCTAAACTCACACTGGTAGGTTAATTGGATACTGGGAAAATTGCCACCGTGTGTGGGTATATGTGTCTGTAACTTGTGATGGACTGGTGTCCCATCTAGGGTGTAGCCTGACTTGCAAGAAACTACAAGAAATTTAATACACTAAACTTTAGAGTCAGCGCTGATAATAATGTTAGACATCTCAGCACACTTGGTGTCTTATACAGTTTTCTTCAGGCTTTAGTTTAGTTAGGAGCGTGAGTACTCACACAGGAATCCTGCTGGATGCACTGAAGAATGTGCTTGGCTGGCACCAGGAAGTCAATGAGGTAGCGTAGCCCGTCACCACGGTATGTCTTCTCCACCACATCAAAGACCTGGCACAGCACCGTGGCCGCAGTGGCCTCAAATGGCGGGTACAGAGCAGCGAGGGTATTCTGGATACAGCTGTCCAAGGACTCAGAATCCTGCACAGACCAGGAGAAACACAAACACAGAAATCACACTCTGTACTGTCTGGGAATGCAAGAGAAATGTCGGGCTTGACTGCTCACTACAGGTGTCCTTTCCAGTGGGAAAGCTTTAAAAAAACACTTGATAGATAAACTCCTTTTATTGAACTGATCTTAATAAGGTGTAACATTTGAGTGCACTGTTAAAATCAGGCCCCGTCTCGAAACGTGATTCTTGCAGGATCAGAGGAAACCTGAGGCCAGAGTCTGTTAAAGATATTAGCTGTGGTCTGACTCATAAAGGAAGGCAGGAACTGGCTGCCGGCTCGCCTCACACACTCTATACACTAGACTGACTAGACTGTGTGTCGTGGGGCTACTCTCTGTGCTGAATATCAGTTCCCACGGGATACTCTAGTAACTGAATGACAGGTTCAGCTGCACAGATTGCTCTTACTCTTGTGTCACTGTTTTATAATGCACAGCGCTAGAGGAAGAGAGGCACAGAACAGCATGTCAGCTAAAATAATACTGGAATGAACTGCAGCAGGAACAAAAATGCATTCCACATTATTTTTCAGCACACAAGACTTTCTCCATTGTGAAACAAAAATGTATTTGAATTGAAGACTTGAATGCCTTGTATTCTGATAAACTACATTTTAACTGAAACCATAATATAATAACCACATTTCTTCCATGAGAAATATGTGTTAAATCCTGCTGATTGATGATTACTGGATTACTGCATTTCAGGAAGCAGAAATAAAACTGGAAATAACTATTCTATATGCTTTCTAATGTACACTGAAGGGCTCAGAAAGGCCTGTAAAAGCGTGCTTATTAAGACATGCTTATTAAACAAATTACTTCAGAGACTCCTCAATCACTCTTTATCTCAAAAAGTTTTAAGTTGAAAACCCTTCCCCCAGCCTCTACTGCTTTAAACCTAATTGTACATTTAATAGGAAAAAAATCAATATTTGGTCCAGGTTCCAAAAAAAAGCAAAGCAAAATAATCCAACAGCTTTATTTTTTAACACAGCTGGGGTTTTAAGCTGGGATGACCTGTTCCAACACACGCAAATGGTTGGAAGCATCAGTGGTAATACCCTGCCTGAGCTCTGCTTGCAACCATCTGTACTCTACTCCGTGTGCAGACAAATACAGGGACCCTAATACATGGTTTATACATGAGCTGTGCACCTGTTTACACCCAGGTGTAGGGGAAGAAAAACAATCATTTACTTTACCTGGATCTTGAAACTGATTTTTAAACAAATGTACATGTTTAAGACAAAATCAAAAAATTTGGTGTAAGTCACTGCAGTGACTTAAAAAACAACAGCCATTTTCTAGGAGCTATCCACTAACCCCAGGGGACTAATTCACATTTTGAAGTGCTCTTTGACAGGAGCTTGAATTGGAGAAACATGTCGCCAACGTTCTTGTTTAATATCAGCTCTGTAACAACTCCGAGCAGCGCCAATAAAAAAGCTGCACCAGGCTTATTTACCAGATAACACTGCTCTTTAACGGACCTGAAACAAACCTTCATACACTAGCTACCCAAGGTTCTCCCAAAAGCAATTTGGTTTTCCAGGAACAGCCCATGTGTAAAACACAAGAAAAACACTTAAATTTAATTTATCAGAGCAGCTTTAAACCACAGTAATGCTATTAAATTAGCGGACTAATCCTGCTTTTCCAGCTTCCACTTAAAAGGACAAAGAATCAATACAGGCTTCCCCGGGGAATGGCACCCAAAACATTATTGACATACTGAAACATTAATACAAGAAAAAAATCCCTATACAGAATTCACACCAAGAAAAGAACACTTAAATAGGGGAGGAAAAGATACCCTAATCAAGATGCAATCTGAGAGATCACAGCATACTCCTCTCAGAATGCCAGTCAGAGCTCAGGCTGATCTTTCAGTGCTGTCTGCACTTCAAAACTGCAGTGCCCAAACCAAGCCATGGCTTTACTGTACCAGAAAACACCTGTTCAAATTGTCTTTACAATCCATGCGAGGACTGTGCAAGCTCTTCCAATTGAATCCTACAGGGACCAAGCATAAAAGAACATGCTTGGTAAAGAAAATGAAAACCTGAACCTGGACACTCAAGGGCTATGGCAGCAGAGTCTAGACATGGAGAAGGATTGAGCAAAAACTACCACTTTCCAGCCACTTCTAATACTATCCAGAAGACAACTGTCCACGCACACTGTGCTGCAGCTGCAGGGAAAGTGGCTGACAAGCCACACCTAGCACAAGAGTGGAATATCTCAGACAGAAGCAGGAATATCCTACACTGGCATCTGACTCTTTTGATTAAAGACTATGTGGGGATCTCATTATGAAATGCAAAATTCTCAGAGACATTAAAGTTAAAGGGTTCATAATAAACAGTGAAACACGAACCAGACAACTCACATGAAAACAAAGGAGAAATAGCATCCATTATTTTGAAGGTGATCCTGGCTTCTTTCAAGAAACAAGTAAATAATACCCATTGATTAGCCATTAATTGATCAATACAAGTGAATCAGATGGGTTAGAATTGCCTTCTTTCATATGTAACATTCCTAAAGTCTCTTTAAATTAAAATATGTTCTATAACGTACTGAGGAAGGCTTATACTGTACTTGAAGTACAGTATAACTCTCGTAAACAGGCAGCTATAAAACCTCCTTGAATTCAGCCAATGTTTTCCATTTCTTTTCAAAAGGGAAAAAGTATTTTGTGGTTGTTCAGTAAGCTCAAAAACCCATTATTTACTGTTCTGGATAGGTCTAGACTTTGCAGTCGGGGAACTGGTGCAGAAGGTCTGTACTGTGTGGACACTCTATTGGGACATCAACCCACTGCTGTCTGCCTGCACAGCTTCACGACTGATCTGGCCGAGTCTCTGTGCCAGGGAAGCCCCACACTCGCACAACCTGCCACTCGTTTAGCTGTGTGATAACAAACACACTGTGTCTTACTAAAGCAGTAGCCAACAGTTTCTGCAGTTCACCATCAAGAAAGGCTGCAGCCATTCACAGCATCCACTCATCTGCTGCTGCCCTCCAAAATTAATCCCATGGAATGGTAAACGAAGTGAAAAGGAAATCAGCTTGCAAAACAGCAAGTGTGCAAAAGAGACAGATATGCAATTATCTTTGTTCTGCAAACAGTAATATGCCCCTGCACAAGTGTCATAGTGTATGGGCAGGGGGTAAATGGGATGGAAAAATCCATCTCCACCCTTTTTGGTTGAGAAGGGGGTGAGGGAAGCTAGCTTCAAACAAACCAGTCATCAGTGAGTCATCAGTAAAGTTAGCACAGTTAGGAGCTTGTGCAAACCCAGTTGATAAAAATGAGCTCTGAAGTGCTCTCCTAAGAAGCCTTTCCTGCACAGCTATACAGATTTACTGCTTTCAGCAATTTAGCTTCTAATCAACTGCACCACCAGGTTTCCGTTGTTACAATCATCCCAGTCTGCAACCGATAATAAATAGTGATTTTGGAAGACCACACCATAACATGTAGCTTTCTCTTGCCAGAATAAGCAGTCCGACTTATAAATGTAGCCTGTTATGTTGCTAATCCATTTCAGAAGAATAAAAAAACAACACCGGCCAACAACTCTGCAGAGACTAACTATTGTACCAAATATTACATCCAAGATTCTGGAACTGAAATAACTCTGCACAATGGAAAGCTTAAATTATTTTTACAACGACCAAAGAAATCTCTGTAATGAAAAATAATAATAATATTCATAAAGTTTATTATTCACCAAAAAAGAAAAATATTAGAACATCTACTTTTTGAAATTTGTTTGCTCCATAGTGAATGGATATAAAAACACATTCTCATTACATGGGATATCAAAACAAAAGGTTAATTACATAATATATTCTTAGTCATGAATAAAACATTCATTGCTCATACAATGTCATAGTTGTATATATTGTCTAAGGTTTTCTTTTAATACACAGAAATTATGCAAAAATGTTGATAGCCTTTTGTGTTGTACATTTCCAGAAAGAATCCGCTCCTGGCATTTGTGTGCATTCCTCAGGGGTTTGACACTGAAGACAAGGAGGTGGGTGATATTGGCCAGAAATCGTTCTCTTCTTTCCCTTCTAGGCCTCTTTTGTCTTATATTTTTGCAGGATGTCACACTTACTATACAGCAGCAGCTTTGTACAGTCATCTGCAAGTGGAGAGGTGTCAGGGAGGTGCCACCCTGAGACAATGGGACCACCAGCCCTGGAATGCTATCATTACACACTCTCAGAAGAGAGTAACAAAAGGAAAGTCAAGGACGTTCTTCCTTGTAAAACTAAGACTAAGGGAGCATCATTCCTATAGAAACCAATGTTCTTTTTTCTTAAAAACACTCACACCTTTTATATTAACAGCATAAAGGCCAGGAGAACGTGAGACAAATCAATACATCTGGAAAGAGCAGAAGCAGCAGTCATGAGACCACATAATAGCAGATGCAATTCTAGTATCCTATGCAATACATACGATCTTTCTGTTCTGCAGAGACATTTAGAAAAGCTTATGTTTCCATACTCTGCACACATAAGAAGGTAAACCTACTGTACTATAAACAATCAACATAATCCTCCATTCCTAGACACTGAAAGGTATTAGAAAAAAATTGCATTGTACAGCATTTATGATAATGTAGAAGAAAGAGGGACAGAAACAGTGCTTTTTATTGCTATTTTTTAAAATAAAAGTTCAAAATAATACACAACAACAGAGAAAATTGATCACTATAACAGCATTTACAAAAAATGAACACAAGCCTATATAAACTGAACTGATTTCAATCAAACTATTGTACACAGTTTCACCTTTCACCTTTCAAAGCATTCACCTTCACAACTGATGTACAACACAACACAAAAGGAAATATCTCAAATGCAACAGAGCTAAAGGAGCTTTCAACAGAAGACGGACTTTGGTATAACAAGTGGTCCAGAACAGGGAGATCTAAAGTTATTACAGGATGGACAGGTATTCAGGACAGGTTTGTAAGGATTTCATGCCAGAAGTAGTACCTTAAAAGTTTATTCTTCCAGCAGCTGTATTTCATACAAGATGTGGAATATGACAGCATGTGTCTTTGTCTGAAGGCCAACAAAGTGTATTTTGTAAAAATATTAACAAGGAGAGAATAAAATGTTCAGTAGGTCTGTACTTTCATGATGCCACAAATGTTTGGACTTTAATACAGATTCAAATAATAAATTTAATTACTGTTTATTTAAAACAATTCACTGTACAATTTATCTGTGAATGTTAGGTTAGTATTTGCTAACTTGCTACAGATCTTTAGCTCTTTCATGTAGACAATTCCTGAATATATAACTTCAGCAGGTGTTAATCCACTTTAAATTTTAAATGTAGATGTAAAAAATGTAACACCAATGCTCAGTAGATCCTTTGTCTAAAATTTCTGGGCTGTCTATTTTTACCAACACCCATAATTTTATGAATTAATTGGTCTTAATGGAAGGAAGGCTCCAAAAGGTCTCACTTCTACCCAACATTTATGGACTTGTAAAATGCACTTTAAGAGGAGGAAAATACACAATTAATCTATGTGTACTAGTGCTTCAGAATTAACAAAATAACTCATGTGGACTATTTATTTTCAGAAAGCAGCCATATCACCCTGCAGCTCACAACTGGCAACCGACTGCAACTAAGCAGGTGTGAGCCTGGTTAGTACCTCTATGGGAGAGCCTTTCAGGAGGAAAACTAAGTTTGCTGCTGGAAGAGGTGTTAGTGGGGCCAGCAGGGGGCGCTCACCCTGCGGTCTGTGTGGGTCCTAAAGCCCCAGTATAGTAACGGGACACTATACTGCTGCAATGCTCCGTGGAAAGCGAAGGGCATGACAAGGCACAGAAAGGCGTCGTGGCCATCCACTGCAACTGAGGAAGTCTGTAGTCATGACGACTACTCATACCGCTGGACCCAGGCTTCTGAGGTCGAGAGAGTGGGACTGCCCCAGTGCAACAGCTTTCCCGCTTCTAAAAGCTCTCCCACACTGGTTTCTTCACGCAGCTCACCTCCCAAACAGATGAGCTGCACAAAGTACAACAGTCATCTTCGGACATGACGGACAACCATAATTTATTTTCAGAGACTGGAACCTCAGATACTACAGCATATAAATCAGGCACACTTAGGGGCACAGTGTCTGGAAAAAATCCCTAAAAAATATATATTTTCATTCTAGATAGTTTAATGCAAGCCTTTTCAATAGTAGTAAAGGCAATAGAGTTAAGCTTTAAAAAAACAATGTAATGTTTATGTTGCATTAGAAGCCATTTACCCTAAGGTGTTAGAATTTACTCGCCAAAAATGTTTAGTAACAGCATATCTTTATCCGTATAGGAATGTATAAGACTACATTTTAACATTTCAGCACATTTTTGTCTGTCATAACAGAGCCAGCATTACAAGGTAATTTCAATCATACATGCAACAACATTACACTCGGTGCTTGGCCATTAGAAGTCAACATGATATCAAGCCTGCTGAACTTTTTCTGATTTCACAGTACTGTACAACTTGAAGGAGATCATGAAGTTGGCAACATAATATGAATGGTAAACAATCCTAAAAACACATACTATAGTATGAATTGATAGCAACAGTATTTTGTGCCCATTATGTTTGAACTGACTCATTTTTCAGCAATCCTTTGCACCTGCAGCTTACAAATGAATGAACAGAGCAGACCCACACTCTGTGACTCTCCCATGTGCATCAGTGCATTTCCCCTACTGTAGCTGCTGCAGTCTGCTACGAGGTCCTCCACTGGCACCTACTCACTGCAGGCCTGAGAGGCATAGTGACTCCACGTTTCATGAAAACATGAGATCTTTTTCCTTCAATAGAAAATGGGTCTAGTAATTCTCTAATAGCACTTCAGCTGGCAAACGGCATTAAACCTAGACTGAAAGAGTATTAGTATAGTGTTCCCAGTGGGGCAAAGGACTCTTCACACTTCCTACAGCTTCAAATGAGGTTTGAATCGAGTACTTCAGCTCTACTGAACAGACTTGCTGACACAGCAGCAACAGTTATAGGAGAATAGAAAACAGGTCATACTTGGTACAAGCCCAACCCTGCAGTGTGATTTTTAAACTTATCTGAAGAATTCAAAGACAAATGATAACCCACACTTTTGAAAAACTGAAGTCACTAAAGCCTTGGCAGTTTAGGAATTAAAGAACAAAGCTGGTGTTGCGTAAAGCCTGCATTTTCCCTTGCTTTCTATGATAGAAATCTGTGCATTCCATTTGTCAAAAAGGATAAATATCAATGGGAAGGATGAAGACCATTCCAATAACAGCTTTGATGAGCTAAGAGCACTTTTTAAATCACTGATCAGCTCAATATATATAGAATTAGTTTGACAAGGTGTTTGCCTTCTCTCTTAAGTGTCTGTATCCACTCAGCGTGTGCTGGATGTTGCATACAAGTCACTTGTGACCTCTCACACAACCTGAAAGCACATCATCCTGAGGTCGAGGCCCACAGCTTTCACTGTATGAGAGAAAGAAAGACAGTAATAGCCTTAAGGCAGCCAGAACTGAACTTGTGTTTCTGCCTTGAAAAACAGCACAAGACTGAAAGATAAATCATGCGGCAGAGCAAGTTCTGTTTTTTCCACCAGTGAAAACAAAATGCACAATTCAAACAAGATTAAAACAAAAATGCCTAAGAGGTAGTTCTGTAATCACACATCTATTAACTGAGCCAAACAGGAATGGAAAAAAACTGAACCCAGTGAACAAAAGGAACCTATTTAAAAACACTTACATCATAAGCTTCAAGTCTCCATTTGAAACTGAGTCCCAAAACATTTGCTTTTAGTTTTCTCACATCAGCTTCAGTTTATAAGAAGATGTAGACACAGCTGTTCCAGAAGACACCAATTTGAGGAACTGAACTTCACACGGCCTATGTTTATTGTGAGAATGCTAATTGTAATGAACAGCATGTGCTCCACTATCCTATCAGTTGCTATTTAGTACTTACATTGTAATTTTCAAAGACGTGTAAACAATCAGAAAACTTATATATATTTTCAGACTTTTATCCATAGATATCTGAAAACCCAAAAGATGGTTAAATTACTGTGATTTTGTTTCTAGACTCCCACAGTTCCGAGACTCAATAAGACCCATTCAGAAAAGAAAAAAGCCACAGTGTGTCTGAATATTCTGGCATGCTTGCTTTGTTAGGGTTCCTGAACCTCATAAAATTAGGAAATTACAATTCCTGATGCTCATGGTGGGAGACATCTAAAAGCCAACTGCCTCAGCCATGCTGGAGTAATTACCAGAGGAGCAGTAAAATATATTCTTAGTGCTTCTAAATTCTTTGCCTCAATAAAGCATTATCAGTAACGCTCTTCACCAACAGTTGTTACAAAGCACAGAGAATATCATCTTGATTTCAGAACCATGTCAACAAGGCCTATGAAACACAGCATGTAATCAAAACCCAGAACTGAGAACACACATACTGTGGAACTTTCTAAACACAGTAGCTGCTGAGCTCATTAACACAGCTCAGCAATGTGCAATTGCTGGAATACCCAGACAAACACCCCACTACTCCCTTCATGGGTCACAACTGTTTTCTAAATCTTTTCATTCAATGACAAGATGAGCCTCTTTCAGCAAAAACAAACGTCTGCCTAGAACACTGCGATTAACTTGTCATCCTAAGACTAGTACAGCAGAAATTCAGATCAGAAACAACACCCTCCTAACACCTCCATCACCCCCCTCCACTGTAGAAGGAAAACTTTTAACCCTGTAACCAACCCAAGCAAAAACGTAAGTCATCAGTTTCGTGCATCTTACCATTTTCTGCAGAACTTGTCCTTATTCTTTTGTGAAATTCCTCCAGGTTGATCATCATCTCCTTTCCTGCAATATACTGGGCTGTACGTCCCCCTTTGCTCTGCTGATCTGCTTCAGTGATAGCTTATTCCAGAGCACACTGCAGCAACATTCACAGGTCTGAGCCCAACCCCCTGCCCGCCCCCTATTACTGCCCCAGCTACTCTGCCTCCCTACACACGGCTACAGCTAGGGCTCTGACAGGGGGGGTGCTGACTTACAACACATATTTACAAACAGCCTTCTGGTTCTACAAGTCACTCCAAGAATATTTTCTTTTCTACATACGTTTTGATTTTTCTATTACAACAGCTTTAGCCTACAGTAAATAGAGGGAGCTGCTTATCTCACTCATTATGCTAAATTGACCACAATTTCCATAGTTATTTTCTGTTTTATTACTGTAAAATAACTCCAAGAAGTGTTTAGACAACTACAATCGCTTATTTTTTTTTATATATGTCATGCATAGTCCTGGATGTAGCAGATGCAGTATGATTTTTTTAAACTGTTACATTAATCACAATTATATTTTTGTGATGTGATTTTTGTAACAATTGTGATGTAATTGTTCCATTAATCCCTTTTTAAAAACAAAATTTATAACATTTTGTTTCTTACACTAATGATTTGGCAATCCTGGCCATATTTCCCATTGGCCCTTACCAATCATGGCCTCCTAATAATCCCCATCTATGAATTGGCTTCATCACTCTGTTCTCCTCCCTACTGATAGCTGGTGTGTGGTGAGTGTTCTGGCACACTATGGCTGCCTTTGCATCATCCAGGTGGGGCTGCACACTGGTAGTGGTGGAGGGGATCCCCATTACCTGTAAAGTGCTTTGAGTGGAGTGTCCAGAAAAGCACCATATAAGTGTAAGCAATAATAATAATGATAATAATAATAAAAAGTTTGAGGTCACAGTCTCAAAGTATGACATGTTATGCAGCAGTTATGGAACAATTCATTTTTTAAACTCAAATCCATAATTTAAACACTGCGCTCATTTACCTGTTTCCTCTGCAGGAATGGAATACAATTTTTAACACACATTGCAGGTGTTGAAGGCCCAGTCTCAACAATAATCTGAAAGAATAATTATCTTTTCATACAGAATGCATGCTACAACACTATTTCTTTTAACTCTGCACAAAGCAATTAAATATATGGCTGAAACAGTCCAATGGTTTTTCTGAAGCCTGATGCTTTGATCTCCAGAGCATTAAATGTGGTTGCTGCACACTGGTTTCCCACTCCCAAGAGCTCAGACAGAAGGGTACAGTGGGCATGGGGTCTCCTGCTGTGTGATCTCTAGCATTAGGACCTGAGGGTCACCATAGCGTGCCCGACACCCACAAACACATAGAGCAGGAATAGCTATACTCTTTATTTTTGTGAATTCTAAAAGGGGACATTATTACAAGCCCTAAATTAAGAGAATCTTTTACACAAGACACAAGACAGACTCTAAGGTTCACTCCTCTTGAGGAGATTTAAAGCACTGTTTCTGGCCTGGCTTTCCCATGCCTGCTGGCAGCACAGCTGCAGAATCACTCTGGAGGCTGGACATCCCTGTGTTTTATTGCAAACTGACAACAAAGCCATGCTTGTTACTCCCTCCACAGCCTGTTTCGGATCTCTTTCCTTGCCAATCTAAAAAACCTGTGATTAAGTGGAAATTTTACTGGTCTGCTTACAATCCACAGCTTTAAGTGATCTTAAAAGGCCTTAAAATATTTTACATACCAAAATCAATAACATATGTACAATACTTTCGCAAATTCTAGGAAAAAGGGAGTAAAAATAGAATTAATTCCCTCTCACAAAGGCAAAGTTTAATGATCAAACAACGGCTGAATGAGGCCAAGAAGGAATAATCCCTTTTTCATTCTTGATATCTACCTTTAACTATCACTTTTTTAAAATGAAACCAAATAACCACAATTGTATTCCCTCAAACAGTAAATCTTTATTAGGTAACACTCAGGACCATCTTTTTTAATTTCAGTTGAATAAAAATTCCTTCTTTTGGTTTTTTTATTTTCCTCCAGTTTCGATGTTCCAATATTTCTGTTAAAGGCTCCTTACCATTATAAATAGTTAAGATCACAGAGTTCACTGCAGAAGTTACCAATTACTTCTTCTGAATTTCTATGTTCTAGCAAAAGAGAAATCAGGATGACAGCACAGAAGACTTAACATCACAGGTTTTCTCTCAGTGGTCCCATTTCTTTCAACCTTCTGAAGATATTAACTAGGACAACTACTTTCTAAATTGTCCTTTTGTGTGTGTGCCCCGTGATGGACTGTCATCCTAGGTTTAGTCCCACTTTGTATGCTTCTGGAATAAATAGGCTATGCATTGACAAAACAAAATAAGCAGCTTTTCTGATAGTGAATGATACTACAATTCTGTCCATCTTATCAAGGTCTACTAAATATTCCCTCCTATTCAGCCCAATCTGATCCAACAGAGCAAGACAATAGGTACGCTTACACTTGCATTTCGGAATGCTTTAGATAAGAGTCTAGGAACATTCTGTTACAGAACAGCAAGATTATACTTGCAAGGAACAACAGGTGGTACTCTCCAGACTTCTGTACTTACTGTATAACAGTTAAGTATGACTACATTTGAAATTATTTAGAAAAGATTAAACAATTATAAATAAAAAATAAATGCATATAATTAAAAGTACATCTATTGGGAAAGGGCATGATTTTTCTATTTAAAATGGAATAAGACTTCATGAATCCATCATCTCTGCTTTATTCAAACTACTTAGTCCCAAATTCTGATAATGAAAAGTTACCAAATTGCATGATTCCATCTTTTTCTAATTACATTTGGCCATTTTTTATTTGTTTAATTTCCTGCTGAGTGAAACCTTTCACAACATAAATCTCAAGAGCTGAACACAGCACTGCTCTATTCCATCCCACTTCCTCACTCAAACGTTCATTTCAGAACTGACTTTACTGTCTGCAGTTACCACAGAAATGAAAACTGCAAGTGATCTGCATGCATGGTCATTCTCTTCCTATTCCTTATACAGACTGTGTCAATGAGCAAGCGACTGTAGTTCTTTCAATATTCACTTACAGCATGCCGCTTTCACTGACTGTTGTTTTCTTTATTCTATTCAATTCTATTCCATCAAACCAAATTTGACTGTTTTTTCTAGTCAAGGGGGTATTAAGGTAAATGGTTGGAAGAAGTGTGTAATTTGAACAGACCACACTCTGGTCACCTGCCCCCTGCCGCAGTGCGAATCCTATATCGGCCAGCCGTGCCCTGCTGGGAATGCACTAGAAATACCAGAGCCTGCAGCACTTGCCAGAGCTTCTCAAACACTTTTGATAAAAACATATTTGAACTTCTGTTCAAAAAGGATTTCTTGAGCAATTCCAATTTACGTTCCAGTGTTGGCAGACACATATACACATAGCTGTACCTAACTAAAACAAACAAGGAAACACTAACACAGTGTTCTTTCACATAGAAATAAAATAAAATGGTGAAACTCAAACGATAATCAAAACATAAACCAGCAATGAGTAACATTTAGCCAAAGAATGCAATGCCAAAGAGCATATTCTGACCATGTTGATTTGATGCAGAATAGCAATTGGAGATGGTAACCAAAGTACTGTATTGTGTTACTCTTGTTTAAAGGGTTACTGAGCACTATATCATTAAACTTTAAAAAATAACCACTCTATTACTTTTTCATGAAAAAGAATATGTTTGCTGTATCACATTCAGATTTTAATGGTGAAATAATGGAGTGTCCTACTCCAGAAGAGGATGGATTAAAGCTTCCTACAACAGGCTCTGATCTCCTAGCGATGTCATTCTTCAGAATGCTGCAAATCACAGTACATGTCCAAAACACTTCTCTCGTGCTACAGCCTATACAGTGACATGAGGAATAAGAATCTACCTCTCAAGCCAACAACTAATAACACTATTAATTTATACTTCAGATATTACACTATGGGCTCCTAAAGAGGTAAAATCAACAAATGCCAAATAATATCTAGCATTGATATTATTTGTCTCTAATGCTTTTATTTATGCTCAACAACTCCCTAAACAAAACAAAATATACACAAAATGTATTACACATTGTGTTGCATTATTTTGATATTTTTGTTAAATATCTTTTTGTCATAGTTGAATAGCAAAATAGTATTTGCATTCACTTGATGCCAGTTAATGAAATCTCATTCACCTCCAAGGACAGCAGATTTAGTTTATGACACATTAACTCAGTTATGGTGAAATGGACATTGTGTGTATTTTATGATGTGGCACATAAAGAATGTGCAACTCCTGTTTCTGATTACACATGCAAGCTGATAAGGGTGTGATGTTGGCACTGTTTAGATTCCGTATAACAGGCTGTATACCACCAGCTACTGATGCTTAAGTCAATGGTGCATAATTTTCTAAAATACAGAAAAAAGCAATATTACAATGCAGCTAACCAGGAGACCAGTAGTGTGAAATCCAATTTTATAACTTAAATACCAATGTGTTACAATGTACCATGCATGTTCAACAGTAATGTGATTTTCTACCATTATTATTTACATAAGGACAGTCTGTCCTTTGGGAAGTAAAGTGACAGTAGTTTAATTTTAAAAAGCCAATGATTTCTAGGCATAAGACTGAAACCATAAACAATAGAACTGAGCTGTTAATTGTGCGCATCACAAACATAAAAAAATGTAATTCCCCCTGCTTAGCATTCTTGCAGTAATGTTTTTATTAACTTAAAATAAAAATTCATTATAAGGTGCAAATGTGAGAGCACAAGTTCTGACCCATGGCTGAAATATACTACATAATTAACCAAATCTTTTCATGCAGTAAATATACCAATTTAATTCCTCCACACAATCCCACTTGTACAATTACTTATAAGCACAGGGCTGTATCACAAACAAAGAAAAACCTTTGTTCTTGTTAAAACTATTTTTAACAAGAGGGCATCAAACACGTAAAACCAAAGGAAAGTTCTTCTGTGCTATACGCAGACTCATCCCTGGGTAGCTGCATTACACAAGCTAAAGGCAGAAGCCCCCACACCACTGTGACACATTGATGCCCAG